TTGTGAAATAAATGGTGTAAATAATAAATGGCAGAAAAGCAAAAAAAAGGTAAAGAGACAGGGAAATGATGCAAATGGGGCGAGGGGGGGGGGGGCATGCCTTTCCCTTCCCAATTGAGAGGTAAACAAACAAAAAAGAATAAGAAATAAAAGGCAAGAATAGAGAGAAAGGAAGAGGGAGAAGGGGAAAAAAAGATTCCCAGACCACTTCATGCACTATCCTCCATCATAGAAGCCTTGTCCTGCATTACATTTTCAAAGTAAGACCCCCCCCCCCCCTCATTCCAGTGCCCCTTTATACATGGGCGGAACGGAGCTACGCCACTGACAACAACAAAAATATGTAAAAGTGTTTTTTTTTTTAATGCAATAACGTCAAGCCCAATATTATCTACCAAACAATACAAAAAACATGGAAGATAACATATATAATATTGCATCCGAATGGAAGATCACTACTTTATGTGCCTAGAATCAGATTATTACCAACTAGAATTCAAAAATTATTTCATAATGCTGCAAGTTTTTGTATTGAAAATATTACCCCTTTTGGCACTCCTGCATATGACGGGGGAAGTCGCCGTTAGTGGTTTTATGACAATGATGTTTTAAAGCATGATATCCTTCTCAAGACAAAGCATTCCATATTTTCTGGTTTTCCTCGAAAACTTTTGATACACAGCCCTATAAATTAACAAGGTGCATGTTTTATAACAATGATGTTGTAAACCATGATATCCATTTCACGACAAAGCATTCCATATTTTCTGGTTTTCCTTGATAACTTTTGATACACAGCCCTAGAAATTAACCAGGTGCATGAAAAGATAGGGCACACATTGTGTCCACTTTAGTTGCATGACCATATTGCGTTTGACACCAGGTATTTTGAAAAGGAATATAATCTTTAAAATCCTTAAATTGGTAACACGTATAGAAATTAAAAAAAGTTGTATTTGATAAAATTATCAATTTTTCAATTTATCAAGATCATTTTCAAGATTCAACCATGAATGTTGTTTTCAGGGATAAAAAACTTAACAACATGGCAATTAAAAGAAAAACAATCATTACATTACGAACCAGAGCAAAATAACAGTGAAGTCTATTTATGCGGATGGCCATATCTCAGCCAATACTGAACATATTCAATTTGGCATTTGGCATTTGGACATCATTTTTGATGCTCTTTTGGATAATGAAGTTCAAATTGAGAAATTCTAAACATAGATTTTGATGATATCACAGCTGCTGTACTCATTACCTCAAGTAAACATCATGGATAATCTACAAAACAATCATTCACTTATTTGTTCTCCCTTCTTCGTTTACTTGGGGCACGTTGTATGTAAAGGATGCTAATGAGTCTGGGCCCTGTTTCATGAAACTTACTTTCAATAACAAATACTACATTTCTATGACAAATGAGCTCTCAGCCAATCAAATGCCATGATTTCAGTAGCTTATAACAGTAAATGTAACTTGTTATTGATAACAAGTTTTATGAAACCGGGCCCAGAACTGCTATGGGATAACTAACGCCCTCTGGGGGGTGTTTCACAAAGTCAAACTTAACTCTAAGTTGGACTTAAATATTATGGAGAGCCATTTGTAGCCTTAAAGCTTATGAACGCTAGTGTGGCTAGGAGGGATTAGACCACACAGCAAGGTGACTGACAGGTGGCTATCTCATCAACTCAGCTCTCAAATAACATAAGAAATAGAGGATCATGGGGGACCAACAGGAACCAATTGGGGAAGTTTTCTATATAGAGGGAGCAAGTAGGACAGTTCTTGCCATAAAAATGTATTCAAAAGCGAAAAATCATGTATTTTAGACTTTTTATAAATTCCACATTAAGAACATGAAATCTCCTTGATAATAGAAAATATGAATGATTTTAATCAACATTTTATGCCTTTTAAATAACTTTTACCAAATATTTTCATAGATGCTAACGGCTTTCCATATTTGTTAAAACGAACTTAAAGATAAGTTCAACTTAGGATCTTTGTGAAACACCCCTCTGGACTCTGAGCAGACGTTAAGGTCATTTTGCAACTCAGGTATATCTAGAACTTCAAGAATACCGGTATTTTAAACAAATTTTTAAAATAACAATCCATGGTCCATAATTAATGAAGGTTTAATTACATTCAATGGTTATGCTGACTGTTATCCAGCAAACATTTACATGCATATCACATAAGAAAAGAAATATGACTTACAATTCCGGACTACAGAAAGTTGCAACGTTCATGCATTTTGCTCGGTAAAATGACATGGCAAAAATTCTTTTCAAGAAAAGATATTATATTTCATAAATGTGACCGCCAATTATCTCATACCGGAGTTACTGGAACTAAATAAAAGTTCTGAAAATTCACAGTTCAGAGTCATACTGCATGTACCTGCTGGGAATAAGGCTTGATCTACCTACACAAATTACAGTATGTGGGATACTACACAGCAAAAACTTGAATAAATGAGCTCTAACTAAGAAACATATGGAAAAACCTCAAAATCGAGAGTATGAATTAAAATGTTAACAAAATGTGTAAGAAGAGCTTTTGATATACTCAAACCTCTTGAACATTCATCAATAATCCTCATAAAAACCATAAATATTCAAATTCTCTTTAAAAAACCAAATATTTTTTTACCAAAAAACTGCATGTAATCTACCTGTATATTTCGACATTGATACAGAAGGCTTGTAATGAAATTCCAATTCCAATTATGAAAATGGTTTTGATTTTCAAACATCGTAGATCACAAAGAGGGAACATGTATATAATATATATTTACATCAATGCACCTTAGTACTGTAAAGTCTGTACATTCTAAAATAATCTACCAATTTATGAAAGTGAGAAAAACGACCACTTACGGTAAATGCTGTACAAAATAAGAATAACAGTTAACATTTACATGATTCGGTCGATAATCTCCATTTACAAGGAGTATACTTAAAATATTACTTGGCAAGTTGATACTCTAAAAAAAAAAAAAAAAAAAAAAATTGATTTTTGACAGCAGAGGAATGAAAGACGACTCTATATTTGTTTATACAGAATGATAATGTTGGCTTTGGAAACTAATCCACTGAAAAAGCAGAACATTTTATGACAGGAATCTTTTGCACAATGTAAGCAGCAGCAATTTTCCTGGGCAAAAAAAACTTTTATGACTCACAAAAGTATGGTGTTGTACCATTTGGGATTCAATAGGACCGTTTTGGTAATGCTATCGAATTTAATCTTTTGTTAATCGTTGTTAAAGGTAAAGACCAGTATTGGAAACGCCCCAATTTCAAAAAATGAAATGGAAGCTCTCATTACCAATCATGTGAAAGAATATGTTTTGACTAATACATGATGATAAAAAATTTGCCGGGAAACCGCCTACTAATTCATATATTTGGTAAGTTTGTTTCTCTCATGGTCTGTGAGAGATATAGGGTAGTCCCATATACATCTTTCTGTGTATAGTGCTTGTAACTTTATGAAGAATGGGCCAAATTTCTTATCATTTTGATGATTCCAGAACCTTGCAGATGCTAGATGCTAGATGATAAACCTTTTCTGATCGATTCCACAACGTTTCTTTCACAATGCAATCGCATGACCATAACTGGTCTTTACCTTTAACAATTATTTCATTCACCCGTTGAAAATAATTAAATTTCAATGACAGAATGCAAATTGCATACATAACAAGTTGTTCGGTTGGAAAAGCCATAGGGTGGTATTCTCAAAAGCGGACTAACTTTAGTCCATGGTTTAATCCACCGACTAAGTATGGAATGCCAAGTGTCTATATGAATATGTTTTTGAATAATTTGATTTGTCCCTAAATCACCATGATAACATAATTATATTATAGTTATATTGTTGTTTATTAATTATGTTATTACATTTTATTTTAATTTAGTGACGGATTAAATTATAAAAAAACAATTCATATGGACACTTGGCATTCCATATTTAGTCGGTGGATTAAACCATGGACTAAAGTTAGTCTGCTTTTGAGAATACTACCCAAAATATTTGTCATACCTAGTACCTAGGATTCATAAAAGGTGAATGAAATAATTTTTAACATGGCACTTAACAAAGATTTATGCATAACATTTGATAATATTACCAAATTGGCCTATCACTTTCCAGCCTAAAACTGTAAACAATCTTCACCACCTGGGAAATTCTCGCAAATATTATGTGCGAGGGAATCATTGTATCTTAATATCCAACGAAGGACAATGCCAAGCGTTACGGAATGACATTTTCAGAGAATTCCCAATTTTTAATAAAGAAAGAATATTGTAGACATTTCAATAAAAATCCCCCAAATAAATGATATGATTACTAGATTAACTCATATTAGGTACTTTCTCAACATTAAAGGTACTTGGTAACATTGTTCAGATGAGAGAAAGTGGTGCTAAGGTAGTGACTTCAATGCTAGATGTACTATTAAAGATAATCTGAAAGATTGAGTGAAAACAGACCATTATTCATGATAAAAATTGGGAAAAACTGATCTGATCGATTCCTTGATTCTCCCAACTATATAATTACAATTTAATTAAATTTCAGGTGAATGTAAACCGTCATGAAGCAATGAATTGGCTCTATATATCACTCCAGACATTTAAGTGTTGACAGATTTTTAAAAGCCTGTCTTATGTCTTATTTTCATGGAAAAACTGTTGGGAAAACTCAAATATGGTTGGGAGAATTTACCGTTAGAGGGTGTCGCACAGTGACACCTTCAAAGAAAACCATAAATATCTTTGTGGTTTGAGAATTATTTTTCAGGATTTTTTGCATGTTAGAGGGTTAGTACAGTACAAGGGACATAATAAGTAACATTTCATCATACAAAAATGACATTTTTTTCATCAACCTTCAACAATGTTACTGAGTCCCTTTAAACAAAGCTATATGAAATTCAACGTTTTATTAATATGATGAATGGTTGATAAGAAACTCAGTGTTTGTAAAAGTACCTCATATTAGCTAATATATATCACATCATTCATTTGTAGATCATTATTGAAATGTCTATAATACTCTTTATACAAGTTTGAAAAACTTCTGGAAATGTCATTCCATAACACTTGGAATTAGCCTGAAGAAATATAGTTTGACAAAAACTGATAAACATGAGTGGGTAGACAACAAAAACATTATCACCCCCAAATGAACTTAATTACCCAAATATTTCAGGACAACCCACGCCTTTCAGGAAGCATACATATACCACAGAATTTGTTCAAACTTAAGACATGAACTTCATTTCATTTCATTTCAAGACAATCGTACAACTGTACAGATATTTTCGTTTTAAATAACAAAAGCCGTGAAAATCCCTGAACCATAATTATTCCATCGTTCACCAGCTTCAAATACTGGCGTGGTTTCCATCAATTTGATACATGTACGGGGACCCTGCATCCGCATCCCTTCATTGCAATATGATCCAAACTATATCTACCAAGCAACAGAGCCATATCTAAAAAGATTTACGCCAAGTACACATGTATGTACATGTAATAAATAAATGAAATACAGTTACCACACTTATTCAGAATATACACAAAATGGTTCTCCTTTTCATGTTATCAAAATTGGCAAGCCAAAGCTATTTTGTTCCATGCCTTACCGATCACACCTAATGTCTGAGTATATTTATAGTATAAAGATGATAGCCCTACAAGAGCTGGGTTCAGAAAAAAATAGCAAATCAAATGATATTCTTCTGTCAATCCATAATACAATTGAATAATGTGTGGTAGTGGAACGTACATTCTTTGCACTTTCCCTTGTATTTTAAGCCAGAAGGGCATAAACAGGGAAAAAATACATGGGGCTCGGGGCAAATTAGCCCCCAAAATGCCAAAAAGAGCCCACACTCAGGAGAAAAATGGAGACCTGGTAGGATAACGAGAGCCTAGGTGTTATAATTGTCATATGCCCTCATGGTGACCACATGGAGTGGAGATGGTACACATTATGCATGAATAAATTCAATGATCGGGGTAATAATATCTGTAAGCACTTAAGAGACAGTATTTTGCATTAAGCGCAGATAATAATTAACTCATTTAAAAGTATATGACTTGACGCCCTTCTGGCTCTGTACACATAACCTGTACATACGAGTGTGAAAAATGCAGCGATCGCAGACGTTAGCCAGACAGTCAGAGGTTTCGTGGTCTCGAGGATAACAGAGCAGACTGTGGGTCACAGGGTTCACGGTTCTAAATCCCTCCAAGGTACCAACATCCACTGGCTAGGCATTAATCTGCATTTGCCGCTTTCCGCCCAGTTGCAGTAAATGGCATTGCATGATCGAAGTGTTCAGAAATTGTGCCTTCTCTACAGAATGCGGGTAATCGAGCTGCATCTTGGAGTCTACTCGGCACAGTGTCAAATTAGCACAGCTCTAACGGAGCGATTGGAAATCAACGACTGGCCAGGCATTAATCTGCATTTGCCTCTTTCCGCCCAGGTGAAGTAAATGGCATTGCATGATCGAAGTGTGAAGAAATTGTGCTTCTACAGAATGCTGGCAATGGAGCTGCATCTTGAAGTCTACTCGGCACAGTGTCAAATTAGCACAGCTCTAACGGAGCGATTGGAAATCAACGACTGGCCAGGCATTAATCTGCATTTGTCGCTTTCCGCCTGGGTGAAGTAAATGGCATTTATTCTGTTCTGTTACCTTACAAAGAGATAGACTGCATCATTGCCGTAGCCAAAGGAGCACAGACACATCTCCACTGAATGAAAGACTGTCACCCTTTCTCAGGCATAGCGTGCATCATCGCCTGTAGCCGGGTGGTACGTGAGATGAGTTGAGAGAGTGGTAGCTCTGTGGGTGTGGCGCCTGCCCTGGAAAGTAGGAGTTGCTGCTACCAACCTACAAACAAAAAAACCATATGAAGAAGAAAAAAGGAAAAGACAAAAATAAAGGGCATGAATTAAACTGAATAAAACAAAGAACACTCAATAGATCACAACATATGTTTCAGAGCTCAACAAAACTCCTTTTCCAGGGCCCCGTTTCACAAAACTTGTCATCAGTGACAAATGACAGCTTTTGTTACAAGCTACTGAAATCCTTGCTTTTGATTGGCTATCAGCAGATTTGTCACTGATTTTTGTCATGTGCCATTGAAAAAAGGTTTTGTGAAACGGGTCCCTGGTTACACAACAGTAGAAATTTAAAATGTATCAGCTCACTGGTGAGGTTATATATACATATAATTCATGGAATCAGCAACGTGATCCGATCTTGTAACATTATGCATTTCTTGTAACTCTAATTTTGACATTGTGTTTTGTGTCGTCCTTTTGTTGCAATCCCCCCTATATAGAATCCTCTAGTAGCCTGCTAATGAAGCAAGCTGGAGTATATGGGGCCAAAATGTAGCCTAAATTTCCCATCAAAGACATAATGAAGTGAAAATACATTTAAATTTCCAAAAAAATTAACAGGTGTTACTGATTTTATAAACATTTCATACATAAGTATTTAAATGAGCTTTTAAAAAAAAATCATCATATTGGTTTCATGGTATTTTGCAAGGTTTACTTGTAGACATTTAAAAATTTTACAAACTTCAATTCTGATATTCATATGAACGAATTTATTTGTTATCGTAAAGTCCAAAATAATTCACAATGTATTTTTCATAATAGTACCCCCCCCCCCCCCCCCTCTTCGAAATTCCTGTTAGGTGATTGAAAATTCTGAGAATCTATTATTTGCGGTTTTTAATAGGATAGGGCTGTTGGAAATTTAAAGCGGGACTGCACTACTTGTAGCTATTTGTGCCCTCTACAAAGCTAACAATGCCTTAGCAGCTCCCATTGATCCCCCATGGTCCCCTTTTTTTAATGTTAATTGAGAGCTAATTTGATAAGATAACCAACCTGTCAGTGACCATGCATGGAGGTCTAATCCCTCCTGGCCAAACTAGTGCAGGTAGGCTTTAATGAGACCCTAAACACTGAAAATGGTCATGCGCTGAATCTTACCGGATATGGAACGCCGGATCCCATTGGCTGCTGTGTCATGCATGGGTTATACTGCTGAGAGTACATAGGAGAGTACCTGGGATCAATCCCAGGGGCAGCGCCATACGCTGACTGATCAAGGTACGGGTTCCTCTGCAGCATGCCGACATCGGTCTGGCCCACGCGAGCCATGGGGTCGGGAATAGATCCCTGACGCCCCTGCAGAAGGCTGCGCAAGTGAGATGGAGAGCTCAGACCGGGGTAAGACGATGGCAGCGTCTGACTGGCGGGTATGGTGTGGAGTTGGCTTGCGTACAGCGCTGACGTCTGTGGCTGGTTGAAGGCCGATGACCGGTGAGATGACAGCGACGGATGGATGCCTGCTCCAGGTGTCAGCCGGCCAGTTGCGTTGAAGATGTCCGGCGGCTTGGGGCCGGTTGTGGTCGGGAACGGAGAGGTATGTCCGGTTCTCATTGGATCAAAGAGGCCATCCTTGCGACTTGGAACCCCCTGTCCACTGTAGCCAGGGTAGGTGTTCGGATCCAATCCTGGAACTGGCGTTCCAAGATGTGGTGGCATACCTGGCGTTGGTACCCTCTGCATGGACATGTAGCCAGGGTAACCAGGCGGAATAGCATTTGGCATGGGGCTGTGCGATGGTAACTTGAAAGAACTGCCCGGTCTTGATGTATTGTCTGAGAGGGGATTTGATTGGGTACTCGAGGGATTGGAGACGTCTTGAGACGGCCTGGTAGGATTGGTCGCTACTTGAGTTGGAGATGCCATGCTGCGCAAGAGTTCTGTTGCTGTAGTACTGCTCCCATGGTGTGCGTTGGGGCTCCCTTGCGATGCTAATCGCTGCATTGTCTCTGACATGGGAGCACCCTGTGGTTGGGCAGACTGAGAGGGCGCTGTGCTCGGCTGACTTATACTCGGAGTAGTCTGAGGGTATTGAGGTGGACTCTGAGCTTTGTGCATCTGAGAGGTTTGCCCTTGGGTTGGGACTGAAGGAGAGTCTACTGCCAGAGGTCGCCAGAGTTTCGCAGGGAAAGGATCAACCTCTCTTGAAGGCACGCCCCACTGCGAGGGTGTTCCAGTGGTCTCTAGAGGACGTCCCATCCCATGGCTCCCAGGGTACGAAAGGTGACTTTGCGGATGAACTTGCGGATGACTTTGCGGATGACTATGCGGATGACTATGCGGATGACCTTGAGGATGACTTTGTGAATGACTCTGTGGATGACTTTGCGGATGATGACTTTGGAGATGACTTTGAGAGTTTCCTTGTGGATGATTCTGAGAGTGAGCCTGAAGGGGCCGCTGTTGCATATCCTCCGAATGAGGCATCGGAATGATTTCATGGGTTCTTTGTTCACTAGGGCCACTAGTTGGTGGCTGTTGCAGCATGGTTCCCTGAGTGCCTGCTCCATCCTGTATTAAGGGTGGAACAGCTTGTGTTGCACCAGATGATTTATTGCTTTGTTCTGAGTGTGTATTGTACCAAGGAGATTGCTGCAGGGGTGGAGGTCTCCTTGCATTAAGATCAATCATTTCCTGATAGGAACTACGATTGGGCTGAACAGCGGTGTTCCGTTCTATTATAGGTTGCACAGCCAGGGGTTCCGGTCCCTGTACAACCCCATGATGAACGACTCCCTTATGAAGCAACTGATCTCCTGAATACACAGTTTTGCCCACACCCCTATCAGCAATCGACTGTCCCGATATCTCCTGCACCGCAGGGTCCCTAGATGTCTTTGAGGTGGGCGAGAATTGCGCCTTCCTTTTATCGTTAGACGCAGAACTCTGTAACCGATTCTTATCTTCCCCACTGTTGCTGACCTGCAGCGGTTTCGGTTGATGGCTCGCGTTGGCAGAACTACTCTGTCGTAGTGGCGTTGCAACCATGGGCGGAACGTGCGCCCTTGGTTTATCAATATTATCAACGTAGCGGGTGGACGACATTGGCATGTAAGATGGACCTGGTCTCTGATCCGTCCCCGCGGGTTTCTCAGGGATACCAGAACCACTTATTGCACCACTCATGGAACCTTCTTTAAGAGCGTTTGTCTTATCACATTTCTTACTGGAGTCCTCATCCTCACTAAGAATTAATTCCCCCTTAGGAGGAGTTAATGTTGCCTTTTTTGTCTCATCACTACTTTGTTTTTCCACCACGCCCTTACTGGATGGTTTATCAATTTCAGCAATGTCGTCGTCATCGTCTTCCTCTTCATCATCCCCATCGTCATCATCTTCCTTCCATTTCTTAGGTGCTCCGAGATGTGATGATTTTGTACTCTTGAGCTCCACGTAATCCTCGGAATGGTACGAAGCCGGGCTGGGGCAAGGACTTGGGTCGGAGGAAATTGCTACTCTATCCTCACAACCTCCCTCCTCCTTCTTCTTCTCCTGCTCCTTCCCCTCCTGCTCCTCCTCCTTCTCCTCCTCCTCCTCCTCTTTCTCCGTCTCCTCCTCCTCCTCTTTCTCCGTCTCCTCTTCCTCCTCCTCCTCCTCCAGCTGGTCTTCGTCCTCCTCCTTCGGACCCATCTCCTTCTTGGAGAATCTGTTGGCTGTTCTGTTGTCCAATGAACTCTGCGAATCGGTCTCTCCCTCGTCCTGTGAGTCAGTGAAGACTGGTTTGGGCACAGGATGGTGGCAGTTGGCGTTCTTCTTGCGGAAGTTTGGGAACTGCTTCTTCAGGGCACGTCGGAAACAAGCCTCTACCTTGCGTGCCATCAGCGTGTATTCTAGGACAAAAACACAACATCAAAGAAAGAGGTTATCAATTTGATAGTGTAGAGATGTACATGTCAGTGTGCGTGGTCTTGGAAAACATCCCTTAAATCGGTTGGAAAGGCCCATGGGTCACATTTTTGTCATATTCCTTTTTTTTTTCTTTCTTCCACACAACTTCAGATAGCTCTTACTTTGCAATTATAATTAGGATACAGAAGATGAAAGATGAAACCAAATAAAGGAACAATCAACACAAATAGTTTTGTTCCACCAAAATCAATGGGTATTTTAAAAACAAGAAAGATAATCGAGGGATTATCAATTAAAATATTCTCTGTTGATAGTATAGAACTAATGCAAATTTATTCCCACAAAGGTAACTTTATATTTCAGGGGTTATAGTTAGCACTTTTCCTCAACCACCCCCTTGAGTAAAAAAGAAAAAAAAAGGATGGCACCTAACATCCCCCCTTTTTTTGAGAGAGAAAATTGGGAAACAATTTGGAAAAAATAGGGGAATATAGGGAAAATCAGGAAAAATCAGGGAGGGGGGAAGGAAAAAAATCAGGAAAAAAAATCGGGAAACCGATTTAAATCAGGTAATTATCAGGCCTGATATTTCAAATGTGCATTCATTCATTCAATTCATGAGAACAGCTTTCGCACAAAAAACAATTATTAATACCTGTCTATTATATTGGAATAACATACATATAGATCCATCTACCATTCTATACACATTAAAAAAAAAGCTGAAAATTAATTAATTTTTTTTTTAAACACATGTATGTGCCGTCACCAGTCAGCTGCATTGTTGACATTGCTGAAACGTTGTTATTCATGAATCTCGGTTTATTTGACTCTCGACTCATTCCCTTTCTCCATCATGCTGCTGATCTAACCTCCTTTTTCTAGAGCTTTTGCAATCATTCATTTCCTTTTTCTATCTTTTTTTGCCTACTACTCTTTTCCTCCATTTTTCCTTTCTCTTATTCTTTATATCTTCTCCCCAAGATTCATAATTTCTTTGCTACATATTTTTAATGATTAATTTTCTATGCACACTTTATTTTCAAGACGTATTGTAAAACAGCCTCTAAGGAATTAATACTCCAACAAGCTCTGCTTCTAGATAGTTCCTCTTTTCTTGTGCTAATACTTTTTTATTTGTTGTTTCATTGCATATTTTTTGTAACATACCTATTAATTGTATTTTGCTTTGCATGAGAAATAAAGTTATTTGAATTTGAATTAAATTTGTATTTTAATTTTCCATTGAATTTTCTGCACCTACGAAGTTAATTTTAAATTAAGTTGTTTTTACTTCTTTGGAAAAAGAAGTATAGCACTACGTACAAATGCTATGAATTATTTAACCTAAACAGAGAAAAAAAACATGATTTGGACTTGATTCTACTTGGAACAATCTTGGTCAAAAAAAAAACCCAGGGGGGGTGTTTCACAAAGATCCTTAGTGAAACTTATCTCTAAGTTGGACTTAACAATTATGGAAAGCTATTAACATATTTGAAAATATTTTTTAAATTTATTTTAAAAGGCATAAAAGTTGATTCAAATCATACATATTTTCTATTATCAAGGAGATTTCATGTTCTTCATGTGGAATTTATAAAAAGTCTAAAATAATTGATTTTTCGCTTTTGAATATATTTCATTTTAAGGCTACAAATGGCTCTCCATAATGTTTAAGTCTAACTTTAGAGTTAAGTTTGACTTTTGAAACACGCCCTAGATCTGAGAGAATATATGTACTCACCACTTTTCCTGCCATTGTATTGAACACAGTTCTGAAAAATCAGGTCCATGTCATTCACAAACTGCAGAGAAAAAGAGTAAAGCAAAAATATTTGCACCTGGAATAATTAATCAATTTAATAATGATAATGTGGATTTATATAGCACTTTAAGATAAAGTTGAGTTCTGGTCATGCGATTGCGTTATTAAGGAAACGTGGAATCGATCAGAAAAGGTTGATCATCTAGCATATAAGTATTGGTGTGTACTGCAAGGTTCTGGAATCATCGAAATGATAAGAGATTTGGCAGAGTCTTGGTAAAGTAACAAGCACTGTACACAGAAAGATGTATATGGGACTACACGAACATGTGGCGTAAAAATCTGTCCCGATTTTTAAGTTGTTACATGCCATATTTAGAATATTAAAGCATTTGAAGAGCCATGCTTTTCAAGGAACGTTTTTTATCTAATATACTTCCACACTTGCATGATACAATGATAACCCTCACAAATGATTTGTTCAACTCTTGCCAGAACTCAACCTTCTCTTTAATACAGAGTACTGTCTGTAAGAGCTTTACAGGTATTATAACCCCGGTCTATACAAAAATGTCTATTGCCAACATTTCCGCTGCTTTTCGTCATATTTCTAATACAAGGATACTTGAAAGCAATGATCCTTTTCAGGGGACATCTATATGGTGAAGTTCTTCAGAGCCGATGTTCAAAGAATTAGAAAGCTAACAAATTATTTTGACCATAACCAGAACCAAACCTACTCGTTTCGACATTTACGACAACTAACAATTTTTCACGTACAAAAAAGAATACAGCAAAAAATTAGAAATCTCTCAATGTAAATTAGGAATACAGGATAAGTTGCATATTTTTTCACATTGAATGTTTCAGAAAAAGAGAGGAATCTAGGTTTTAAACTAGATGGAATTCGACTGCGCGCAGTCGAAAATGATGCCTCCGTCATAGAGCAATTTTACAAACCAAAACAGAAGAAATTTTTCGGATTCAAGTTCAATTGTAATCCATTGACAGGTTCTCAGAATATCGTGATTACAAGCAATTTCTCATATACATATATGACCCTTTGATCTTTGACCTCATGACCCTAAAATCTACTCAGTTCATTGGCTCTGCAAGATGTCCTGAGTTAAATAGTAATCCATCTGTCAGTTCTAATGAGAATGCGTTCACAAGCTATGTTTGCATACATAATGAGCCCATGATCTTTGACCTTTGACCTTATGAACAAAGAATCTACTCAGTTCATTGGCTCTGCAAGTAACATACATGACCTAATTTTGGCAGGAATCCATCAATCGGTTCTTGAGATAACGCGATCACAAGCTGTTATTGCATACATAATGTGTGCTGTGGCCTTTGACCTTTGACCTCATGACCACTAAATCTAATCAGTTCATCGGCTCTGCAAGTAACATACATGACCTAAGTTTGGCAGCAATCCATCAATCGGTTCTTGAGATGACGCGATCACAAGCTGTTTATGCATACATAATAAGCCCTGTGACCTTTGACCTTTAACCTCATGACCCAAAATCTAATCAGTTCATTGGCTCTGCAAGATACATACATGACCAAAGTTTGGCAGGAATCCATCAATCGGTTCTTCAGATAACGCGATCACGAGCTGTTTTTGCATACCTAATGAGCCCTGTGACCTTTGACCTTTGACCTCGTGACCCCAAAATCTAATCAGTTCATCGGCTCTACAAGATACATACATGACCAAAGTTTGGCAGGAATCCATCGATCGGTTCTTCAGATAACGCGATCACAAGAACGGGACGTACGTACGTACGGACGGACAACCCGAAAACATAATGCCTCCGGCTACTTCGTAACGGAGGCATAAAAAAAGGAATGGTGGGCAGGTACTTGTATAGGTTCCTTTAGCACACGTTTCGATGAGAAACCGTTTCAAGGAATACCAAATAGTCTTTAAAGCCTATCTGTACTAGTTTGGCCAGGAGGGATTAGACCTCCCTACATGGTCACTGACAGGTGGTTATCTCATCAAATCAGCTCTCACTTAACATAAGAAAAAGGGGACCATGGGGGATCAACGTGCACCGCTAAGGCATTGTTGGCTGTATAGAGGGCGCAAGTAGCTACAAGTAGTGCAGTCCTGCACTAAAGACAGGTGATTATTCTATACAGTACAGACGGAAACGATCCAATATGATTCAAGTGTTCAGAATAATGCACCAGGTTGACAATCTTCAAGAAACAACACTTCTTCAGCAGAACAAAGTGCAGTCGCACCTGTGGTCACTCACTTAAGCTTTACAAGCTAAAATGCTGGAAGACACTTAGGAAAAACACATTCAGCCTGAGAATAATCAATGTGTGGAATGGTCTTCCAGGCGATGTTGTGGAGAGTACCATTATCAATCGCTTCAAATCTGGACTTGAGAAATGGTGGAAAGATGCCCCAGATAAATATGATGACAACCCCAACCAAAGGAAACCATGGATAGGAACAACAGTCTAAAGACTGAATAATCCTGGATCAAGTGAGTTACAAGTGAGTATACAGGTCTGAGCGTATCTTACGTCATTGATGGAGTGATACATCCTTTCCTCGACCTTGAGATCCATCGTGGCGATGTCCATGGGCACCTTGATGATACTGTAGTAGTTGGGTGCGTACGACTCCTGCACAGGGTCAATGAACGGCCATGCCTCGTAGTGGGTCTTTGTCGTGTCTAGCACTAGAAAGGTTAAGATAAGATAAGATAAGATATTTATTCTTCTTTCTTTTAAATGTCACATAGATCATAACATTAGATCATTACACATTTACAATGCAAAAAACAAATTAATAATTATAATAATAATAATTTAAGATTTGTAAAGCGCACATATCTGCCTATAATGGCACTCAAGGCGCACAAAAAAGATTCACTATTAACATGTCAAATACAAATAATAAACAAATTAAAGTTATCAAACTAATAATAAATCAACAAATCAAAAAACAAATGCAAATTACAGATTCAGTAAGAAATTGAAATGTTCATGAGACTTAATCATATTTTTCCTTCATAAGGTAGGTCTTTAGATTTTTGTGGCAATGATAAAAACAAACTTAACTAAAAGAAAGACGAGGAGACCCTGGTAGAAGCAGAGCTTGTAAGTTTTAGGGTCCCCTCTGGACCAAATAATTGGTTGGTGCATAAATAAGCAACAAGATAAACATGATGGAGTACATATTTGTGAATACCTAAAAACGGAGAGAGAGAAAGTATGAACTGTTGTAAGCTGTATGGAATAGGTGGGTTTCTAGTTGTCGTTTGATCATTTTTGAGTGATTAAGGATGGGGGGTTCCATATGACTAGGCTTATGACAGGGATATTGGTCTTCTAATGACAGTTGGGGTAATAATATGATTGCAGGGCCCTCAGGGAGAACAGTTTATATACTGAAGAGGCTACCTTGGGTAAACAAGACATATCATTATCAGTATCATGGCATTAAAACAACTTATTAACGTACAAAATATATTATATACCCTAACTTCCCTCACATTTAGCATAGCTTTTCAGCTCAGAGATTATTTCTATATATATATTTATATATATGGATTTTGAGTCCAGACTTGTCCAGACTCGCCTCTCACTAGCAATAAATGTTAAAGGGATATCAGTCTTCAATGACAGCTTGCTGGCATCAAAACAGATAATTTAAAGGGATTGGGTAACTGTCTCAGATTCTGAAACAAAATCGTGTATTTAGCTCATGCTACAATGATAATTATAAACATTTAGGTCAGTCAGGAACCCCATGACTTTTACAAGTCTAATTATTGTCTAATTATCAAGATATTTTTTACTAGAAATCTAAATCAAATTTTGTGTTTTTATAACACTACAGTCTATTGGGGAAAAATGAGAATGGTAAAAACCAGTCACTCAAAGATTTTTACTTTTTTGAGGCACTTCATGATAATTTTGAAGCGCAATTTTTTTAGGGCTTCAATATTACACCATACCACAGACACTGATAACACGTTGGGTCAAGCATCTCAGATTAACATTGTTAAATGATGCCTTTAATTGAAGATAGTGAGAATTTCTGGCATTAAAATTTTTTAAAGCTGAGCATACACAGTACACATAAGCTTTGTTTCCCCCACCTTTAGCAAAACTTTTCTTGAGCTTTTCTTTCTCTTGCTCGGCCTGCACTTGACTTCTGCTGCTTCTCGTTGTCCTGCCAAAGCCAAGGTCATAGGGCACGGAGCTCGACGAGGTCAGGTCGTCGGAGCTTGGTTCGGGAGAAGCATTCTTGGCACGTAGTCTGGCACGCAAACCTTGTTCTGCTAAAAGAAGAAAAAAAATGGGCAACAATGTCAAGGCAAACTATCATATGAAGGGAGGGCTGGGGGGGGGGGGGGGGAGGGTGTTGTTTTCAAGAATGTCACTGATCACAATCCGATATTTAACACAGGAGAAATATTGCTAAATGTACCCTTGCATTAAAAGTCAGTCTGCACTAGTTTGGCTAGGAGGGATTAGACCACCTAGGAAGGTCACTGACAGGTGGCTATCTCATCAACTCAGCTCTCAATTAACATAAGAAAAAGAGGATTGTGGGGGACCAATGGTCACCGATTAGGCATTGTCTTCTATATAGAGGGAGCAAGTAACTACAAGTAGTACGATGGGCCTTTAAGAGATTTTCCCTGTAGTGAGGTTTCCTCATTAAGCTTTAGAGATGCACTTTCCACATGTATAAGGTATCGGGTTTATTCATCAAAAGTTGCTGTATTTCCGTGCTATATAGTTTATATAATTTCTCTGTCTTCCATGCCAAGGTCGCAAAAGTGAAGGGGGGGGGGTTATCTGCCCTCCTAGCTGTTAAATCGCCAAAATCACGAGCCTTTCATGATTATTAAAAAAAAAAAAATCACCTCTTCATTCTATCTTTGTTTCTTTTTCTTCTCTATCATGTCCCCATCCCCCTATGTCTCTCTCTCTCTCCCTCTCTCTCCCCTCTTCCTCCTCCTCCCCCCTCCCCTCCTCCTCCTCCTCGTCCTCGTCCTCTTCCTCCCCTCCTCCTCCTCGTCCTCCTCCTCCTCTCCTCTTCTCTCCCTCCCCCTTCCCCCTCCCCCTGCCCCTCCACCTCCCCCTTCACCTCCTCTCCTCCTTCATCTGCCCCTTTTTCATCTTCCCCTATTTTTTCCTCTTTTGATAAGAATGAGAATTTAAGCTCATAGAGAAAAATACACTCACCTCTTTGTTGCTCCGCCTTCTTCTCTGTTTGTTCCTCGTCTCCCTCTCCCTCCTCTCCCTCGTCCTCTTCCTCTTTCTCTGTCTCCTCCTCGTCCTCTTCTTCTCCTTCCTCTTCCTTTATATCTTCATCTTCTACCTCATCCTCCTCTTCATCGTCGTCGTCCTCCTCCTCGACCTCCTCAGTATATTCTCCTTGTCTTCTGTTTCTTCTGCGTAGAGATATCTTTCTGACGGCCTCCTCTGCTTCCCTCTTCTGTGCTTCCTCGTACTCTGCCAGAGACTTCATATGCTCCTGAGATAGACAATGATTCGCAATTGTAATAATAATAATAATAATAATAATAACTCACATTTACCTACTTTTTTCAGCCATTATCGATCCACTGCAGGATGAAGGCCTCAGCATGCTGTCTCCAAATGACTCTGTTCAGCGCCTGTTGGTACCAATTAACCTTTCGCAAGTACTATTGCAGCTCATCTCTCCATCTTTTTCTTTGGAGTCCCCTGTTACCTTTTTCCTCATATGTTGTCCAGTGAGTGATTGCTGCACTCCAGCGATTATCATTTCTACGGCTGATGTGGCCCGCCCAATTCCATTTTCTTCTTTTCACTGTTTCAAGGATGTCCTGGACTTTTGTCTGCTCCCTGATCCATTTGTAATGCACCTAATCCTTTGTTTCTAGGCACAGCACATATAATTACCCCGGCCATCAGATTCAGGCTTACCCGCAACACAATGTATGCACATTTTACGAAATAAAGAAACTGCAACAAAGAATGTGAGTAGGGAGAAAGATATATAGAGAGATTATGATAGAGTGAGAGAGAGTAGGAAGGAGATACATATATATATATATAGATAGAGTGAGAGAGAGAGAAGGAGGGAGAGAGAGAAGGAGGGAAAGAGATATATAGATATATAGATATATAGAGAGAGATATATAGAGATAAAGTGAGAAAGAGAAGGAAGGAGAGAGGTATATATATATATAGAGAGAGAAAGAGAGAGAGATATATATATATAGAGATAGAGTGATAGAGAGAAGGAAGGAGATATAGAGAGAGAGAAAGAGAGAGAGAGAGTGAGAGAGAGAAGGAGGGAAAGAGCAAGAGGGGAGTGGAGAAAGAGAAAGTAAAGTACAGTTGACATCAGGAAGTATTAACCTTGTTTCAACTTACTTCTTCTTCCTGTCTGACCTTGATGTCAGCTATCCTCCCTGAAGTTCTCCTTGGAATCATGTCCTGCAGCTTCCGTCTTAGTGCTTGTTCCTGACGCGATTGAAAAGATATTCGTCAAATAAAAATAATATCATATTTATGCCTCATTGTGGAACGGTCTTCCCCAAATCCTTTGCTCTTGTCACCAGTTATCCACTTTCAGAACTCAACTATTAAAAGACATACCTATTTCAGATTGCTTACAATTAGTCACTGCTGTTTTGTCTTTCCGAGTTAGAATCATGAACAGACATTTTTGTGGTAGTTCCATCAGCGTCTTTGATTAGGCAACTAGATATTGGCGCTTTATAAATTCCTGGATTGGATTGGATTGGATCATTATTTTACATTTTTTGTAGTAGTAATATTCCTGACACGTATAGTCACTACTTACATAGGGTACATATATAATAATCATCAGGTGAATTTTGAACACGCCTTGTACTTTGCTTCTGGCGCCATGGTGCTATTGTCCTAGCAGCCATTAAAGATAAAGTTGAGTTCTGGTCATGCGATTGAATTTTGAAAGAAATGGATGTGGAATCGATCAGAAAAGGTTGATCATCTAGCATATAAGTATTCTTGTGTATTGCAAGCTTCTGGAATCATCAAAATGATAAGAAATTTGGCCCAGTCTTGGTAAAGTTACAAGCACTGTACACAGAACGATGTATATGGGACTACGCGATATCTATCCAGGCTGGATCGATATGATAATTTACCAAATATATCAATTAGTAGGTCGTTTCCCGGCACAATTTTTATCATCACGTATTAGTCCAAACATATTCTTTCAAATGATGATTGGTAACAAGAGCTTCCATTTCATTTTTTGAATGGGGGGCATTTCCAAAACTGGTCTATACCTTTAAGCCTTGCTGCATTAAGATGTTGGAAGTATTCAGGGAAGCATGCTTTATGGTATAGAGAGACCATGTCTCTAAATATGTCTGTAAGGACCACATATTTTGTTTCCCTTAAAATGTTGTTCCTCATCGATATTTGTTAAAGGAAACCTGTATATAAAGACCAAATGTTGTGTCCCCCTGGCATGGCTTCTCCACAGAGGTTTGACTGTACACACGTGTATGTATAATTCATTATCATTATTATTATCATTTATTCCGCAAAAACAAAGAAAATCATTGAATACAAAACAAGAGTACATTTGAAAAAGAGTCACATGGATGTCGGGAAAAGAAAAAGATGAACTAAATAACTATAAGTAAAAGCAGGTTTACCTTTGCAGCAAAGATTTTGTGAATCTCGGTTAAGAAGTCTTCCTTGAGGACAAGATACAGCGCCCTCTCAGCCTTGTTCCTGACTCGCTTGAAGGATTCGGTCAACCTCTCCCAGTCCTCTTCGGTGTGGCAAATCAGGTGCCATCGAGCCGTCTCTGGCTCCTCCTCGCTGGAGGTATCACTGGAGCTGTCGTCAGAGGCCACCTTCAGCATGTTCTCCATCAGAAGAAGAGACTGAAGCTCCTTCAAGGCCTCCCTCTCATCCAGGTCACTCTGCTCAGGGGCAGGTGCCTTTGAGGATTTCTTAGCAGGGGTCTGCTTCTTTCCCGGCGGAGCTGTTCTGCCCTTCTTTGCCGGACTGTCATTGGACGTCGGCTCTTCGCCGCAACCGCTTTCGTCGTCTTGGCCAGACTTCCTTGATGCCTTGTTTCCCTTTGTGGCTTTTGATGCTTGCCCGCTCTTAGCAAGCTTCTTGGAAGGGGAGACGGTGCTTTCTTCCGTCTCGCACCCTTCTTCTTGGCTCTCTTGAGATCCATCATTCCCTGATTTCTTGGAAGATTTCTTCAGCGTTTGCTTGGCAGTTTTCTGCCCCGCCTTGCTTCCTTTCTTAGATTTCAATCCGTTATCGTCCTCACTCTGTGAGCTAGCAGCATCCAGGACATTCTTTGCTTTTCCCTTAACAGCCTTCTTCCCTTTTGGCGTAGTACCCTTATCTTTGTTCTTGTCCTTTCGTGCCTGTTCTTTCTCAGCCTTTGTAGGCGTCACTCTCCTTGTCGCCCGACCTGGACTTGTCGACCTCTGGCCTTTCTTGTTGCCTTGACCAGGTTTGGACGTCTCTGGTTCAGCTTCTGTATCACTTTCTGTCGCAGTGATGATCTCCTTGCTCTTAATCTCTTTCTTTTTCCTTCTCTTCTTCTTGATCTTTCCATCTCCTGGTCCTTCATTCTCCGTCAAGTCCGTCATCTCCTGCTTAATTTTTGGCTTGCTTTTCGACTGATCTTCCTGGCTCTCATCTTGGGACGAGGCATCCGTCTTGACTTTCTTTTTCTTCGCTTTTAATTTCTTCCTGGTCTTACTGTCCAAATCACTCCCACTCTGAAGGTCTACAGACGATTCTTTCTTCAGCTTCTGCAACTTGCTCTTCTTTTTTCCTTTCCCTTTCAGCTCCTCTTTCCCTTCATCCACGTCGCAGGCTTCACTCTCCGTAGCGGTGTCTTTCCCTTTCTTACCCTTCCTTTTCTTGATTTTCTTCCCCTTCTTGTGCTCAGCGTCAGTCTCTTCCTGACTCTCTTCGCCTTTCTTTTTTCTCTTCTTCTTCCCAGCCCCTTTTCCCTTCTTACTTTTTGCCTCAGCCATGTCCATTTCACTCTCTGCACTGGTTGCCGTTTCCTCCTTCATCTTTTTAAGAAGACCTTTCCCCTTCTTCATTTTCCCACTTTTACCCTTCTTCCCGACATCGCTTTCTTCCTGGCTAGTATCCATGCTGACTTCTTCTTTCTTTTTTCCTTTCCCTCGCGGACTTGAAGGCTTCCTTCTTTTCTTATCCTCCTCCTCTTCGCACTCGGTCTCCGTCTCTAACTCCTCTTTCTTAATCATCTTTCTCGTTTTCTTCTCCTTCTTCTTCTTCTTACTCTTCATATTGTCGTCTTCCTCGCTCTCTGAATCCGCATCACTTCCTTGTTCCTCCTTCTTCAACTCCTCTTTCTTCACTTTCTTGGCAGTCTTCTTAACCGGCATCTTCTTCTTCCGTTTTCCATTCTCGTTGAGCTCTTCTGGCTCGTCGATCTTCTCCTCCTCCACCTCCATCTTCCGTTTTCCTTTGCCTCTCCCCGAGGGTGTGTCTTCCTTTTTGCACTCCTCAGCCTTCTTCTTGCACAGTTGTCTCAGAGGTATGTTGTCATCACTGCAGGTTTCACTATTAAAAGAAAAACAAAGGGAGATTCTCAGCATGAAAGAAGAGTCATCCGTCGTCAACTTATCTTTTTTTAAATCACAAGCTTTAAAGGCATCTTTTAAACAATGTTAAATCTGAGATGCATGGCCCTACGTGTTATCAGTGTCTTTGATATGGTGTAATATTGAAGCCCTACAAAAATTGCGCTTCAAAAAGTATTTCTTGATGGGACTACAGGTTTGTTGTGTGCGAGATTTTAACACCCATCAATAGCATGTCAATTGGCATTGGCGAATTATTGCTACTGCAAATGGAAACCGACAACCAGCTCCTATAAGGGGCTTTTTTTAGCAAGGCTATAAGGACTTGTTGTCACTAATATGTATAATACATATATATATATATATATATATATATATATATATATACATATACAGTGCGTCCTAGTAAAAACGAAACCGAGAAGTATCAATGTTTTATCATAACTTAATCACAACCATAATTAATGAATGACACATATTTAGAAAGCTTAGAGTCTCTTCTTTCAGTTGCTACTCAGATGATGCATATTTCATAATTCATAATTTCCATAATTTTAACAAACAAATTTGTTTTCACCGGGTGCCTGCCGTAGCAAAAAGCAGAGTTGACAAAAGACTTAACTCCGTTTCGTTGACAATCAGCCATGCATGAAGACTCTCGTCTACGGCTGATTGTCAACGAAACGGAGTGAAGTCTTTTGTTAATTTCGTTTATTGATACGGCAGGCAGCCAGTGAAAAAGAATTTGTTTAATAAAATTATGGAAATGCAAGCACTACTTTAAACAAACAGAACTTTGTTATTCCTCGCTCATTTTTCGTGAATGAGGTGTCATATGAAAGGGCAGAACCTCAGCTCCTCAGCGGAGAAAGGGAAGAGAAGAGATGAAAAAAGAAGATAAAATAGGGGGAAACACAGCAGTCATATGCTTACTTATCACTTTTGAGTGGCTTCATAAGTTTCTTTGCTTTCGATGGTTTCTTCTTGGCAAGTCGTTTCTCCAAGGCCTTTCTGGCCTTCACGGTTTCCTGGAGTCTCTTTTTTCGAGCCACTTCTTTCTCTTTCTTCTTCTTTATTTTCTCCTTTTCCCTAAAAAAAACACCAAAATACATAAAAGGAATCTCCCTTATCGAAGAGAATAATACGCCATGAATATTGGCTGCATCTGATAACGAGATGCCATTGTTACCAACCGGTTAAAAATTTCATTTCAATTCTTTGACAGAGCATCAAAATATTTGTCACTGTGAGGTGTTTTTTTTTTAAGAGTGGGAATAGTTGAAAGTTTTTTATAAATTTACTTCAATTTCTTTTTTGCTACCAGTAATAGCGATTATTATCTCTATAAGGCTTCCAAGTTATATAATAAATCAGTGTATTCAATATCTGTAGCACAGTACCCGGATGACTAACCAATGTTGTTTTTGTATTGCTCAGTCATCCAGGAACTTCAACTATCGATATTGATATCGAAATCGATATCACACACACAAAAATATACAAGAATATATTGCTCTCGCTATGAAATATTGGACTCATCTCCGACTTGTTCAATATTGCCATAGCTCGAGCAATATCACATTCAAAGCCATCCAATAAATAACTTATCATATAAATATAGCCAGCAAGTGTTTAAAAAAAAAAGACTGCCAATAGATAAATAATGAAGTCAAACCTGCAAGACACGCTGCATAAAATATATAAATGTTTCATACCCCTTGTAAATTTAATGTTTTTGTGTTTTCGGTAACTCAAGAATGAAAGGTGGAGTGATTAAATAGGGCCTTGATGTACATGTAAGCTTTAATATGTCATGTTCTCAAGAAACCTAAATGGGGACAAATAAATTGTTCACATACTAAAAATTTACAAACTAAGTAAGGGCATGAACTATCAAGCTGACTGACCTAAAGGTTTATAATTATGATTGCAGCATGAGCTAAATCTAGGATTTTGGGTAAAATCTGAGGCAAAGATACCCAATCCCTTTAAGACTTACATCTTCTTTCGTTTGGCTTCTTTTTCCTCCACAGTTTGGGTGGGGTCCTCCTTGTACAGTCTCGTGCTGTAGAAATACCAGTATTTGGCCCCTTTAGAGTCCACTCCCAGTGGTTCTACGCGCAGCTGCTCTCCGTGATATTCCTAAACGATAGCAACGCAAAGGTAAAGAGGAAGAAAGTTAGACTATGAATAATGTTCTATTAACCCTAGAGGTACATGTATGAGTATCTCTAGAAACTTTTCCTCCTCCTCATCATCATCATCATGATCAACATCATCTTTAATATCATATCACCATCTTCATCACCTTCATCATGCTCATGCCCATCCTCCTCATTGTTATCATCATCTTCGTCATCATCCTCATCAGCCTAATCATCATCGTCAATATTTTCATCCTTATCGTTCTATCAAGATAGTTATTATCATTATTACCAAAATTAATATCACTCTCACCCACATCGTCATCATAATCATCAATTCACCATCATCAGCATCGTAATTATCTCTATCACCACCAGCCAGCCTCCTCCTTCACTTCCTCATCATCATCACCATCCTTGGTTCCTCCCTCATCCCATCACCCCTATTCCCCTCCTTCTTATTATCATTATCTTCATCCTCCCATATCCCATCATCGTCAATCCTCCCCCCTCCTCCTCCTCCCTCCCCCTCCCCTTCCTCCTCCTCCTCCTCCTCCCCCCTCCCCCTCCCCTCCCCCTCCCCCTCCCCCTCCTCCTCCTCCTCCTCCTCCTCCTCCTCCTCCTCCTCCTCCTCAACAGCATCATCACAATCACCACCATCAACATAATCATCACCCCCTTCATCATCACCATCGTTACTTCTATTTACCTTCAACAGTGTAACATCTGCAGCATCGAGCCTGAAATCGCACAGCGAATGAAGAATCTCTACTTTGATCAGAGTTGGCAACCCCTTGAAGGTAGCGTCCTCAAGATTCAGTGGATTCACTCGCCCCTCCACCAACTCCCACTGTCGTTTCATGAAGGTTTGGAGACACTGATGATGGTTCCCTGATCTGCTGATCAAAATTAAGAGCAAACATTTAAAAAGCTAAATGTATACCTTACCTGTATATCATTGGCATATTATTAGCACTCCAGATTTCTTGTTCGTCCTAAGCCTTATATTACAATGTGGATAGGAATCTTCGCTGCGAAATGCTCTCCCTCTCAAGATTTGTTAATGTTAAAAAATAATTAAACAAATATTCCCCTTTTATATGGCATATAACTAAACGTTCATTTTTTAATGTTCCCTCTTACTTCTGCTCCTTTGTGGGGGGAGGGGGTTCACAAGTGTGCCTTGCAATGGCTACATGTATATACATGTACATACATACATGTACACTGCAGGGTCTACACTAAACTCATCTACATGTACTTGACTATCTGATAAAGTAATTTGAAGCTAAAACTAGTGAATCAGAATTCTAATGGATCATTATTCAAAGTTTTAAACTGTTTTAGTTACTTTTTTCAATACATCTATATACAGTACATTTACTGTACATGATAGTTGATACAGTATGTAAATAATGTATAGAGAAAATGTTCTTTTTTTTCTTTCTTTTGTTATATTTTAAATTGTCCAATGGAAATTCACTTTGTTAACATTTTTCATACAACAGTAGTGCTCCATACACCCAGTTATTGTTGGGTCAACAAACTTTCAGAACATGCAAGATATCGGCATTTCCTTCTTTCATTTGTATCGGCATTTCCTTCTTGTCTTGTAAATTACATGGACACGCATATTTTAAGTCACCTCGCACCTGCGATAGACATTCGTGGTCTCCATGGTTTGTTTTTCCTAGACGTCCAATCACAGCGTTCCATAGTTTCTTGTTTTTGGCTAGGTGAGTGTTTTTTGCCACTCTTCCGTTAGGTACTCATTAGAGACACACGTATACTACAGGATAGTCATTGTCAATGCATCATTCCGTCCTTACTTCATAGCGTACGACTTTTGCAACTATTTATTTTCGGCTTGTTAAATCGTCCGTGTTTGGATTTTCTTCTTCGCTGGATTGGCCACGGGTCTTTATTTGTTTAACACGCCAAGTAGGCTATATTCTTATTTTCTTTGGTTCACGCTTGGGCTAGCCAAAGGCAGCCATTTTGTTTCTGGACACATCGCGTTGTACATATATTTCCGGTAGATTCGTCGAAGCCTCCGACAAGATTTAGTATTGCTTTGTTGTATATATAGATACATGTAGTGTATTTTCTCGCTGAACATTTTCCTCGACGAAACAACATAGTTTTGGAACAAGTTAGTTCTTTTCAGCTACGTTCGTCGAGAAGACAACTTCTAGTTTGAATCACTTCCACTTTCCTACCTTATCGACGAGTTCAAACTAGATTCTACAACTTTCTTTTTTCTCCCGTCTTGATAATTGAACCTACACTTGGGTTCTAAACAACTTTATATAACATATACACTGTACATAGTATGTACATAAAAACATCATTAGATACTATAATAAGATTAAACAGAAATAATAATTCAGTATTTTCTTGTACTTGCAGAGCAGCATCATTTAGATATAATGCAGTTGCCGCTTGAGTTCCCTTTTGACTAGAAAAATTTGTTTTATCAGTATCACTCCATCGAGCGAGTACAAAAAAAGCTGCTTGTTTTGATAGGGTTTTCTAAAAGGGAGAGTCTGGGAGACAAGAAACAAGAATCTTTAAATTAATATTTTTAAATGGGATGTAGCATGGAAAATACTGGTTAAGGCCATCTACGACTTCTTTTGAACTATTGCACGTGAACGAATGGACTTGACTATAACGGTCAGCGCCCGCTAGCCTTTGCGAAAAAGACGTCACGCTTCGGTTTCGCATATGTTACACACAGGTGAATACTGCGGTCGCGTCGTCCGTAGTCGTATTATAACCGATTGGCCCAAAGTCAGGCCACATGAAAAACACATGGTCTCGTCATGCTACACCCCTTTTAAGATATTTGTACAAGTTTTACGAACTGTCGTCCTAGTACTTACGTAATGTCTTTACGTGAGAAGCATCCTTTCAACAGCGCCACCAACAGGTCTGGAAGAAATGGGACCGCTTCTTGACCGGCATCAAGGAAAAGGGCTTCCTCAAGATCCTGCAATACAAAACAGATAATAAACAAGTTCATAAATAATAATAATAATAGCTAATTCTTACATAGCGCTTTTCAGGACCAAAGGCCCTCTCAAAGCGCTTTACAGGTATTATTACCCTGGTTATCGGATTCAGACTTACCCGCACACAATGTATGCACATTCTCTACTCCCTGGGGAGCATTCCAGCCAGGCGTCATTTTTACAAGCGCACACTTGCTAATCTAAGCACATTAGCTTTCGCATCCTACCGGGTACCCATATAACACCTGGGTGGAGAGTAGCAAATGTAGATCAATGTCTTGCCAAAGGACGTTAGTGCCGCGGTGGGACTTGAACCACGGAATTTGTGATCCACAGTCCGGTGACATATCCACTCGTCCACAACACCTCTACAACAACTTTACAACTTTAAACATTGTTTAAACATATTTGTCGCTTACACCCAGTAAATAAAGATTGATGATCGATCTGTAAAGTGTAATTGAAAAACAAATCAGACAAAATCTTGGATCCAGCAGGATTTGAACCTGCATCTACTGCTTGCCGGGCAGCGACTCTTAAGATTTTTACTGAATCATTTTTCAATTTCAGATCGATTAATCTTTATTAGCTGGGTGTAAACCACAAATGTGTTTAAACAATTTAAATTTCTCCCCGGAAGCATTACATTTGTAAAAAAAAACTCTAAACATATACATCTAGCTATCTAACTTTAAGATTGTCGTTTTCAATCTCTCTCTCTCTCTCTCTTTTGCTTGTTGTCAGATGGTGCCCATAACATAGGCACTAATGTGGCCTTTACTAAAGCTATCTCTAGCTATATTTGTAGCTCTTCCCACACAATGTACTTCCACCTGACCATGACCAGGGACCCGTTGCACAAAGCCTTTTTTTAATGACAAATGACAATTATCAGAGACAAATCTGCTGATAGCCACTCAGGAGCAAGGATTTTAGTAGCTTATAACAAAAACTGTCATTTGTCACTGATGACAAGTTTTGGGAAACGTCCCCAGACCTTTATTTCATCTGTCTTAATTGATGCCTACCTTGAGGTCTTTCCACGGCCACGGCACCCTTAACAATTTGCTTCTCAATGCTCTTTTCCCTCCTCATGATGTGCCCATGATGTGCCCAAAGGGCCATAATCATGACACAAGGATACAGCCCCGGCCATGCAGGTCTAGACTAGAATCATTTATTGATTTAAAGGCAATAATTAATTAACAAAAGGTCCTATTCTTACACTCTTGACTTGTATGAAAGATTCATTTGTCTTTGCAGTTCTCACCCAGTATCTGAATCTATGATTATGATGACATATTGATGTTATTGATAGATTGGTAATAATTAATGTCGACAAAAACATGTCAACAGGGTCAATGCGACAGTGATCCCAAATCCATGACTTCTTTGTCCTAACGCCTTAACCAGGTTAACAGAAAGTTGTTTAACTTAGGCTCGAGTTTGACTCTGTCTGAAATAAAACCTCAAACTGTAATGGTTATTCTCACCTCGATTTCATAGTCTGGTAGGGCAAAAGTCGATCTGAAAAGCGAACAGAAGTGTGCTATGGCCGGTACCTTCCACCAGCTCCTTATGTCTTCAATAGAGACGGCAGCCGAGCCGCCGGGCTCAGTTTCTTCCCGTTTTAGCATGCCGACTGATTAGGGATTCCACCTTGTTTTCAAACGATTCTGTCCCTGAATTTGACGGCGATTGTACTTAGGAGTCTTACAGAACGTTGGTGTGATCACTTGCGACGAGAATGTCTCCCAAAAGGTGCTGACAATCTATCATTTTGGGGTGTACTATTATTAATTAATCCCAATCAAACGGCACTGCTCGGCATCATTATTTATACACACATACTTCAACACAGTACGTCCGCGTATACCCGCATAGTATACACCGTAATTGCATGTACTGTACAGCGCGGCGGCGCGCCTGGATTGCGCTCTGGATTGTGGCTGGCCTCGCGTTCGCTTCGGTGTCTGATATATGCGGGCATGCTCTAACACACTGCAAGTAAAACATATGAATCATTCAACGAAAACCACCGGCATCGCCTACTCTACAAGGCCTCTGCCGTATGGCACAGCTTAGCGGTCGCGGGCAGCCCCAACTTGCAGTGGTGATAAACGTGGCTATAATACACACACACAAGCCGCGTACAAATACACATACACACACACCACTGTGACCCCAGCATAGCTTGCTACATGCAGCGCGATTAGATGATAGATTTTAACTGCAAGCGCAAGCGGCATAATTTTTAAGACTAGATAAGGATTATTGGTACAGTGCTTAACAATTAGACCTAGACTAGACCCCTATGTCATTTTATTATATTTTTATTAAAATTTAATTATACTTATTTTTTACTTCATAATGTCCATGATACCATATAGACTAGCCTATAAATAATTTTCTCAAATATGCTTTTGGAAAAAAGTAAAGTTCAAGAGTTTGTATTTAAATTGGCAAAGTTGAATAAACATGATAAAACTTTTGACCTATCGGATGTAATCTTCACCCTTAGCCAAGGTCAGGTGATATCGGACAAAGCGCGCGCTTTCAAATCAGCTGTTACATAATTCCCCGAGCTTTGTTTACATGACTAACCTGAATCAAGCGCTGCGTGCATATGCGTGCTTTAGGCGGCTTGTTTAGCTTCCTGTAATTCCTGACGCACTCACCCTAACGTGTAAGGTCAGATCTAGATCTCAGCTCTGTCAGAGTACGATTAATTTACTGTGTGCTAGTGGAGCTGCCCTACCCTGCACTGCCACTGCATGCTGCACTGCTCACAATATATTCTCAGTTTCTCACTGCTCTGAACTACTGAAGTGCTTTGTCTGGATTTTTTTTTGCCGGGTGAACGTGAGTAGACTTAGTAAAATAGTTTTTAGAAGGCACTTGGCCAGCTAAAAATTACATCAATTTCTGCATGAGTATTGTAATCTTCTTCTTCTTCTTTGGGCCTCTACCTCCTTCACAGTTGTAGATTCTTGTAGACTGATGAGTGTGTGTGTGTGCTTACGAGAGCAAATTGTAAATGTAATATGTATTGCCTGTTGTCTTTGAATTAGTATTATTAATTTGCAAAGTAGATCTAAATGCTAGAAATCTAATACATCAACTGATGTAGCCTAGGTCTAGATCAAGTAAATATATAACTATAAAGTTGATAAAAATTCCCAACTATACCCCTACCGTACCATATGCCTACATCAAAATTGAATTCTGTCGGCTTGTATTTCTCTTTCTCAAGTACTATCTTTACCTTTACCTTTACCGCAAATACTGGAAGAATGCTGAGACAGCAGTCGAGCTTCCAGGTCTATCTTCTTGGTCTATCTTTGCCTTTCAGTTTCAGCCAATCCTCAGGGAGGTCATTGCAGGCTCAGGCAAGAGTGTAATTGTGTAGGGATTCACTAATTACAAACATGAATGACCAGAGATCAGACAGGAAATGGAGATTAAAACACCTTTAATCAGGCGACAACGGCCTCCAAAAACCACGACAACAATATCACAGACAACTGTCCATTTTACAACTCCCAATCACGATCATATCAGTATTGGCTGATGATAACAATCCCTATAAATCAATAACTCATCAATGGCTTTGATTTTTGAATATGAGAGGTTCCCCAATTATATTCTATAGAAGTTAACCTAAAATCAATAGTAAAAGTTTAGATTTTTAAGACTTTTCTTCATATGTTAAACATCAGAGAGGAGTTAAAGCTGTCATATTCCCCTGATTGCTTTCTTACAAGCATGCTTTCTAATTAGCAGCCCGGTAATATAAACCTTCAAATTAGCACATTTTGAGTTGAGAAACAATGTTCATTTTGTTGGTATCATAACATTTCGTATTATTCAGGAGTCTGTGATTTTTGAAGACGTTAAAAAAGGATGGAGATTCTTAATCAACAATCCTGGGGCACTCTCCTACTAGCCTGTGTGATAGGACTATTAATCTACTCGATGGAAGTTGATGGTGAACCCGTTGCAACGTACCTTGGCCAAAGGAACCAGTTCCTGAAGAGCGAAATCGGGGAGGGCGTTGGAGCCAAACTGGTCCTTAATGAGAAAGAGAAGAGAGTGGACGATATTTTGCTAGCAGCGAAGAGGAAAGAGGTCGCACAGGGTTTTTCAGAGACTTTTCCACCGACAGTGAACTTCTTAACAGGAAAACCGTTGGTTGAAAAAAGTGCTGTATTTGACATCATCAAGAGGATGCCAAAAGGTGAAGCTTTGTTTTATTTTGGGATTTTTTTTTCCCCCTCTTTTTATTATTGTATATGTATGGAATGATTCTTATTAGTAATGGAGTACTACCGGTAAAGGTAATGGAGTACTAAAGGTGTTTAAAGATAAAGACTAGTTATGGTCATGCGATTGCATTGTGAAAGAAACGGTGTGAAATCGATCAGAAAAGGTTATCATCTAGCATAAGTATTGGTGTGTACTGCAAGGTTCTGGAATCATCAAAATGATAAGAAATTTGGCCCAGTCTTCGTAAAGTTACAAGCACTGTACACAGAAAGATGTATATGGGACTAGGCACATGTGCGCGATGCATGCGTTTATCTCTCACATACCAATAGATAAACTAATTTACCAAATATATCAATTAGTAGGCAGTTTCCCGGCAAAATTGTTATCATGTATTAGTCAAAACATATTCTTTCGCATGATTGGTAGTAAGAGCTTCCATTTCATTTTATGAAATTGGGGCGTTTCCAATACTGGTCTTTACCTTTAACACGTTGCCTTCAAAAAACCAGAAATGCAAATGAGAGAATTCAAGAGTCAAAGGGTTAAGCTAAATTGATGGAGAAAGGGGAAGAAAAGATACGATCAGTTGATTCAGGAAGAAAAGGCTTTTTATATCAAGTGAAACATTGTTTTACTCTATAATGCTTCATACTTAAGAGATTAATTCCCCTTTCATGAGACATTTAATAATTTGCTGAATTGTCTAGATTACATCTAGCTGCTCAATACAGATCTATCTTAAAGATACTATGTCCCTTTTGCAGCCAACATCAAATTCTGTAGAACTTTGCAGGAATTATGAATATATATGCCATGTATGTCCTTTCTGTGAAATTTAAATGTTAGCAGTGTCCTAATATTCAAAGGATGCAAGGAAGCCTGTTAATACTTGGTAGACGTCACTGTCAGACACTATTGAGTGACTGACTGGGTTCTTTTCTTCTTTGGTAATAACATACATGTACATAAAATGAGCTGTAAAGGGTACATGTACATGAGCATTTGTCTGCATCAATAACCCACTAATTGTAATAGCCAAAATTAAACTGATTGAATCTTTGCGCAGCATAAAACGTACGACCATTCGGTACAATGGTCTGAAAATCCAGACTTTTACTTATTGGCTCTATAGCTCCTAACTAAGTCGATTTGACAACTAATAGTCATTATTTTCCCACTTAAAGACATTTTCAAGCCCCCTTTTTTTAGGGAAGTTTTAAATTAGTATTGTCTTTCAAATGCCGTTGGAATTTAACCTTTTCATTTTTTGGGCCTGCAAATGGAACATAATACCTTTAAAAAGGAAGCTCCAATGTAATGTTTATTCCAAAGGTAAAGTGAACCCTAATTTAACTATGAAACAAGCATTTTAACTCCAGAATTGAACACCTGAAAGTTCCTTTTTTTATAGTAGTTAGTATTGATTGATCCTGTCATGTGTAATTCTATTGTATTCATGTTCGTGTGCACAGTGACTGTACATTCAACAATGATGTGTAATCGTCCATGACCTAGCACTGTTTATCCATCCATGAATGAACCTGCATTTGATCAGCAGATGTATTAGATTTATTGTATTATTACCAACGCTCCTTCTCTCCCTTTTCCTTTTCTTCTCTGCAAGTCACTCTTTTTTATTGTTATTTTTAATTGTTGTATCTAAGTTGAGGGCTGCGGGCACGTCATGCTACTTTGCTTATTTCTGTAGCCCTCCTGCATCTAATGTATGTTAATTATGCATTCAATATATTTGTTTAATTTCGTTTATTATCTGTATAAAATTATATACACTTAAAATATTGTATCAAACCATATTATGTTCATGAAAATGTATGATGAAAAAAAGAATAAAGATGCAGAAACCAATCCAATCCAATCAAATCAAATCAAACAGAAGGTTTTAAAATCATGAATTATTTCTGTTGCAACTCTAGGGGGCATCCTTCACATCCACGAAATATCGATAGCCGACCCTTGGTGGGTGGTTCAGACCATCACCTATCTCCCGCACCTATACTACTGCGTCTCGGATGATTATTTCTCGTCCCTCCGCTTCAAGTTTGCCGGGACCGTGCCGCAGGAAAAGCCGGTAGCATGCAAGACGGAATGGGCCCTCGTCTCTGAGTCGAGAGCAGCACTGGGTTCCTCTTATTTTGATCAGTTGTGAGTCGATCTGTATGAATGCTCTCATCACCTTGTTTACTCAATGAAAGAAATACATAAGTATGACAATATGAATTTTCTTTTTCATTTTTCATTTAATGTAAACAAATATTTTTGTTTATGTGGGTTTTAGACAAATAGATTTACAGTAACTTACTTTGTTACTCAGTTGTAGTGATTTATTTAGATCTTTATGCACTGGGTATTCAATTCAATTCATATTTATTGCATTTCCAACAGAAAGATAAACAAAGATATTACATCATACATAATTCATTTTTTCTGGTAACTATACAACAAAACACTTTGCACATAATCAAATTATTACAAGAAGTATTGGAACCAAGTGTTTAGTGAATTAGAAATGTATAGTAGTGGGCTCTTATGGGGAATTTTATACCATTCAGGCATTTTCCCAATATTACAGATATTGTCAATCACCAGGATTAGCCTTCAGTTTTTTTCACCCCATATGGAAAGATTTTTTTGCCATATGTTCGTGTAGCCCCTTATAAATCTTTCTGTGTACAGTGTTTGTAACTTTACCAAGGCTGGGCCAAATTCCTTATCATTTTGATGATTCCAGAACCTTGCAGTACACACCATCATTATGCTAGATGATCAACCTTTTCTGATCGTTTCCACAACATTTCTTTCACAATGCAATCGCATGAGCAGAACTCAACTTTATCTTTAAACCTCTTGCGTACCCTACTTAATTGTTATCATTGCTTCCTCTGTAGACTGTACCACAACCTGACAATGGTTACCGATCAACCCGACGAGGTGTACCCTAACACCACCATGTCCTGGCTTCGGTTCCAGCAAGCTCTTTTATCTTTGACAGACCTGTACTTCAGCGTGACCTCGTTTGACCTCTTCGTGAAGCAGAGCCTTCTGCAGATGATCCAGGACAACGTCCAGTACGTGGAGATCAGAACGGTGCTATTTCCGGTAGGTTGGGCCATCTCGGAAAATGGGGACGTGCGGGTGGACTGACAGCCTGCAAGAATGTATCAAAAGATATATATATATATATATATATATATATATATATATATATATATATATATATATATATGCACAAGATCATTTGGTATTCTATCCATGATTTCCTGTGAATTGAACATGAGATTTAGTTTGGACTCAAAATAAGGCCCATTTTTTCACAATTTTCAGGTGTTTTCCAAAAAAAATTGGAAATTTTGAAAATACTGACCCAGTTTAAATGGTATTTTGGTTAAAAATGGGACCCATGTTTAGGGATTTTGGGGAAAAAGTAACCCATTAGAGCGGCACACCCCTGTATATCTTGATATGTGAGTACCCCACCTCTGGGTCTAAATTATTTTCAACCTGTCATTTGCTTGAATTAAAAGAAATTTAAAAAGTCCATCATTACTATTAACTTCCTATTTATCATCAAAAATTAAAGAAATTTGACAAAAACTATGTGAGATCTTATTGAATCTGTACAAGACCCTTAACCCTTACTGTACTGGGCTATTTTGAGCACCTCCTGACTGGGGGGGGGGCCTGGGAGGCCCCCCCCCCCTATGATCTCGGCCGTCGGATGTCCGATGAACACGAAAATTTGCATGTTTGTAGATATTTACGTAACGAACAAGATGGTCTAATTAGTTTTTTGCGAATATGCAAATTTTTGTCGTTATAGCCTAATTAATTATGCAAAATGCTAATTTTATGCATTTTACAGAAAACGTGTCAAACTTCACTTTTTGAACGTTGAAACTCTTTATTCATATGAAACTTCTTTTCTAACACAAAATATTTATTTGGATGTAATTAATAATGATAATTTATGCAAATTTGATGCGATTTTCAAATATTTGTTTTCTTATGTATTTTATTGTTTTTTTATTTCTTATTATATCTATTGTTTTTATTTCTTATGTATTCTTTTGTTCTGGAATACATCAAGTTACTTTGAGAAACATATAAAAGCAATTCGATATCAATTCATATCACCCACTTAGGAAGGAATACATCTAAACCTGTATTCACATTTCTGCTTGTACATGAATATATGCAATGATAGCATATTTTTGATGACATGCGCATACTAATTGTTATGTAACACCTCACAGGTATATCCGATTGCGACGAAAATGGTATCAAAATGTGCGTAAGACTTGAGGGAAAAAAGTCATGAAACGACAATTCAAAATTTCAAGCGGTTGCGGCGCAATCTCTGAAAATGTCGAGGGGGGGGGCCTCCCAGGCCCCCCCCCCAGTACAGTAAGGGTTAAGCATTAAAAATTGTATTTCTTTCATTTCTTTTTTTGATTTTGTTTTCAGCTTCAGGAATTGGATGGGACAATTCACCCACCCGAGTACACCTTACAGCAGTATATCCGGATTGCTGAAGAGTTCAAGCAGCAATACCCAAATGATTTTGCAGGACTCAAAATAATATCATCTTCCATCAGGTAGAGAACTTAATATAATAATAATAATAATTCCGCTTTTATATAGTGCTTAATACATCTATGATGTCTTTAAGCACTTTACGTATAATCCCGGTCATTGGAATCAATACTTGCCCATACACACTGTGTGCACAAGCTCCACTTCCTGGGGAGCATTCCAGCCAGGCGTTACTTGGCGCTAAAAAACTGTTTGACCAACAATGATGGTCGCACCCTACCGGGTCCCCTTTCAACACCTGGGTAGAGAGTAGCAAGTACACGTAAGGGATATTAGTGCCGTGTAGCCAGGGAGGACCAGGGAGAATGGGTACACATATTTCCAACAAATTTTGGCGCTTCTCCCCCAACAGATTCAGTATGCCATTTTCGTAATGTAATCAAATTTAGTTGATTATTACTTTACAGACATCCGGTGAATAGAACTTTTATCGTAGAGCAAGTCCAGCTTGCTATTTGACTTGTGTAAGAAGTACCCAGATTTCTTTGCTAACTATGACATGGTAGTATATTATTATTATTACAATAGTCACGGTCCTGATATTTATGTTTGGTTTTGTTACAACCCTATTATACATGCACCTGATACATTATACACACTGATGATTAAAGGCATCATTTAACAATGTTAAATCTGATATGCATGGCCCTACATGTTATTAGTGTCTGTGATATGGTGTATCATTGAAGCCCTAAACAAATTGCGCTTCAAAATGATCATGAAGTGCCTCTAAAAAGTAAATCCTTGAGTGACCGGTTTTACCGTACTCATTTTCCCCAAAAGACTGTAGTGTTATGAAAACGCTAATGAAATTTCGATTTTTAATCATAAATATCTTGATCATCATACAGGCGATCGGCTTGTAAAAGTCATGGAGTTCCTGACTGACCTAAAGGTTTATAATTATGATTGCAGCATGAGCTAAATCAAGGATTTTGTTAAAGCATCTGATACAAAGTTACCGGATCCCTTTAATGGCTTCATTCTATTTTGCAGACACCCAGTCAATAGACCTCTCATCAAGGCCCAGGTCCAGCTTGCTATGGACCTACGTAAGAAGTACCCAAACTACTTTGCTGGTTATGACCTGGTTGCGCAGGAGGATGGCGGTGGACCTTTGGTAGACTACCTCAACGAGCTTCTTTATCCATTAGAGGTTGGATCTGACCTACCATTCTTTTTCCATGCCGGTGAAACAAGTATGCACCTGTTTCAATTTGGGGCTCTATTCTGAAAACGATGTTATGTTCTATGTTTAGGAAAACAATGTTAATTTTCAAAACAAAATGAAATTGCACGGAAAAAAACAACACTTACCATTGGTGTTTGGCACTGCTTGCACAGATGTCTCTTTTGATTTCACATTGTGCAGACATTAACCAATGCAATGACTAGACATCATTTTGATTTTTTTTTTTAATTACTATTGTTTTACTATTACATAAAAGATTGTTTTCTGAATAGCAGGATTGATTTTTTCTTTCTTTTTTTCTTTTCTCTTCTTTAAATAACCAAGTAAGTCGCTACCAGTTGACTCAATCCCTCTACCCTTCCTTAATGTATGGTTTATTTAATCATTTATTTCTTTGATTAATTTTTTTTGTTTGTTCATTGTTTTGTTGTTCGTTTGCTGTTGTTTTTTCTTTGTCTCAGGCATTTACTGACATCGTCTATAAGCTTTCCTTTTTCAACTGAAACTGGTCTAATCATAATGACATGGATAAATGTTGTGCTTATAATTTTAATGTGCTGCAATGGAGATTTTTTGAGATTTAGTAGCCAATACAATACAATAATAATACATAAACCTCACTCTGATAAACAGAGGGCTTACTGTAATTCGAATAATCTGGCCCTCCAGTCCAGTCAGGTGCTTGCATTCCACAACCTTTCGAGAAACGAAAGTGGAAGATCATGTGAAGATACACGTTCAGGATGCAACTTTTGTAGATTTGCTGTGTGGTTCTTTTCACAAAGTGTCTGGTAAATTGGACCAGACCATTTGTAGATGAGAGGGGTTCATTTCATAAACATTACCTCCGACATTTCGTGAATAAAGTGGCATGTTTTCACAATAGTTCGGGTAACGCAACCACCTGACCGGATGCGATTTGAAGTAAGCCCTAACTTAAGGATTCTGCTGTTGCTGTTCCAGCTTGCTTGGCCATATCAGTCGAAGCTTGGGGTGTAAGGGATGGGATCAGTACTGTACTAAATCTGTGGCTTTACTGTGCAGGCCAGAAGCTTATCCATGTACTCGTATTAAAGGGAGAGGGTTGTCGGTTTCCATGTGCAGGAGATGCAAATGTCAGATAATGACTTTACCATATGGGGAAAAGGCGAGCATTACATATATTACATAAATCCTATTGGTCATAAAACTGAAGGCTGATCCTGGTGACTGACATCACCTTTTATTGGGTTAACACACGAGCGGTGTCAAATTTTTCATGAGAGAGCACTTCCATGTGTCTTTAAGATAGCAATAATTAAAATAGACTTCATATTCCTTATTCATTGACAGTTGACCTTTCTGTCACTCAGCATTCTTCAAAACTCTCAGGCAGGCTCATTTCTATGCTTCCGTTACGAAGATCGAAGGATACATGTATATGAAAAATTGCTTGTAATCAGGATGCTCTGAGAACCTGTTAATGGATTACAAACAACAACAACAAAATTGCTCTGTTTTGGTTTGTAAAATCGCTCTATGGCGAAGGCATCATTTTTGACTGAGTGCAGTCAAAGTTCCATCTAGTTTTCTTATATTCTAAGCCAAGACAATTCAAATAATGTCACACATTTTACAACGCCCAAGTACATTTTTCTTTATTTATTTTTCTTTGTGAGTGGCTAAACGGATTTCTATCATTATTGAAACCTTGATTTTTATTATTATTATTATTTTGTCTCTGCAGATTGGCAGGGTACGTTTGTGGATGACAATCTTATTGATGCGGTTCTCCTCAATACAACTCGTATTGGACATGGCTATGCCATCAATAAACATCCTGCTGTCCTGGAGGTCGTGAGGTCAAGGGGCATTGCCATAGAGCTAAACCCAATATCAAATCAGGTATGTGACATCCATGTCGATGTGCTGTGAGAATTTATTAATGTACAGGGGCCCCCATTGCATACAACTTACCATTGATGGTAACTTTGCCATCAATGGCAACTACCATGGTAACAGGGCTCAACAGCCAATCAAAATCAAGGTTTCCATGGTAGTTACCATAGATGGCAGAGTTACCATCAATGGTAAGTTTTGTGCAACAGGGCCCAGAAACGGTATGAAGACTGTAAGTGCAGGAAGTTCAAGCTCAAAAATTGATTGATTTATTTTATTTATCTCTGAAATTAAGTATATTTTCACCTAAAGTGGTGAGACTCGGTTTGGTAACAACAAAATGCAATAACAATCATAAAATCTAAAATCATAACAGTAACATTATTGAAAAAAAAAAAAAAAATAGTATACACATGCATACAAATTTGTTGGTATCGTAATAAATATGGACTTTTTCAACAAAATACTTTTGCTTATTATTGTATTGCATTTATAGACTTTAAAAACAAAATTAATCACATGATAATCATATTGTAGAACCCTCCATGTAAAATTGGCTTTTGTGATCCTGACTGGCATTTAAAGGGGAAGTCCATCCTCATAATTAGCGGGTATTCATCTAAGTATAAAACTCGAGAAACAAATTGGTGAAGGTTTGAACAATATCCGATTAAAAAAAGAAAAGTTTTCAATTTTAAAAGTTCTCATCAACGATACACATATTTCAATTGGATGTCGGTGAACTTGAACTTCTGACAGTTTCGTGAAAGGTTGCTTATATCTAATAACTGTTATGTCACTCTGCCTTCACTTTTGTAGTTGCTTCAGTTGGTGCATGATCTTAAGAATGATTAACATGCATCCAATCATTTTTACCTTTGTTGCTTTTATCCTCACTTTTGTAGTTGGTGCGTGATCTGAAGAAACACATAGTTTATTGTCTGATGCTTTAGGACTATCAATGTCCTGAGGGCATTGGCTCTTTAAAAATAAATGCAGAAAGTTATGAACATACATAATTTTGAACTATGACCTTATATAACTATCATGTAGGTTTATCATCACTTCTATAGGTACCTCAATTGGTGCATGATCTGAAGAACCACATTGTTCATTGTCTAACACTCTGGGACTATCAGTATCCTGAGGTCGTTGGCTCTTTAGAAGAAGAAAACAATGATTAACATGCATGTAATCATTTTGACCTTTGACCTTTGACCTTGTAACTATCTTGTCGCTTTATCCTCACTTTTGCAGGTGCTTCACTTGGTGCATGATTTGAGGAACCACATAGGAGCTAGTCTTATTGCCGAGGACTACCCAGTGGTCGTCAGCTCGGATGACCCCGCAGCCTGGGGGTCGTTGCCCCTGTCACATGACTATTACATGGCTTTCATGGCCATGTCCAGAGAAACTACAGGGTTGACGCTTCTCAAGCAGCTAGCTTTGAACACGTTCAAGTAAGGAATCAGATTTTTTTATGTCATTCAATATAAGTTCGAAAACAGCATTTCATAGTACATTCTAATTGTTGTATAGACTTGAACAATGTATGGTTCAGATACATGTATAATGATTTTGTTTGAACCATACATTAAAGGGATCGTTTAACAATATTAAATCCGAGATGCACGGCCCTACGTGTTATTAGTGTCTGTGATATAGTGTTATATTGAAGCCCTAAAAAAATTTGCGATTCAAAATATCAAGAAGTGCCTCAAAAAAGTGACCGGTTTTACCACACTCGTTTTTCCCAATAGACCGTAGCGTTATGAAAACCGTTTGGCAAACGCAAAATTTGATTTCGATTTTCAATCATAAATATCTTGATAATCAGACAGGCGATCGGCTGGTAAAAGTCATGGGGTTCCTGACTGACCTAAAGGTTTATAATTATCATTGCAGCATGAGCTAAATCAAGGAATTTTTGTAAAGGATCTAAGACAAAGTTGCAGGATCCCTTTAAGAAATATTGTTGCAGCTTCACTTCCCACCGGCAAGAATTGTAATGGTTATAGTATGAAATGATTTCAAAGACTGTTAAACCTGTTGCCTCTGGAACAGGGTGGTTCCTGTATTATAGCTTTAAGAAACCTACCTAAGCGCAATTTGAATATTAATGTTCTTTGCCTATTGCAATGTGTGAACTTGACCATAGGTATATAGGCCCTAATCCAAACATTTTTTGTAAGGAACTACAATAGTGACATTGAATTATACTTGAGTGGATTTTTTTTACAACCAGGATTTTGTTGATGCATTGACAATAAATTTGTATAATATATTCCTCTTCATGTATACTTTGGACTGCAGTGCCTGTGTTTTGCTCCCCACTGCTTGTTTTTCCGATTATGTCTCTGTAGGAGCAAAGCCTGCTGTAAAATGAGAAACTGCACATGCTGTTAAAACTGTCATGTTCAATAAAATGTGAATTTGGACATGTCCCATTGCATAACAATTCCATGCCTTAAAATAACCGAATCCCAAAACTAAATTTTTGCAATCCACAAAAGTTTTTTCCTGTAAAAAGAAGCTGTCGTTAGGAAGGAAGGCATAAAGTTTCATCTTGTGACCTTTCTTGTGTTGTGAATGAAAACCTGGGGGGGGGGGGGGGGTATTTCGCAAAGATCCTAACTGAAACATTATGGAGAGCCATTTGTAGCCTTAAACTAAAATATATTCAAAACCAAAAGTATTTTAGACTTTTCATAAATTCCACATCAAGAACATATAATCTCCTTAGAAATAACAAATATTAATTAAATGATTTCAATCAACATTTAATGCCTTTTAAAATAAATGTTATAAAATATTTTCAAAGATGCTTACGGCTTTCCATAATTGTTAAGTCCAACTTAGAGATAAGTTCAAATTAGGATCTTTGTGAAACACTCCTCAAGTCTGGTATCTTTCTGTGATCTTGTAGGTACAGTGCCATGACAGCATCTGAGAAGGAAGCAGCCAATGATTTATGGCAAGCCAAATGGAATATCTTTCTGGATGAGACACTTGCTAAGTATGTTTAATATTGATTTGCTGAATGATTATTGTTTGGCTAAGCTCTCTATGCACCCTCTTCCTCAAGTCTTAAGTCAAAATAAAATAAATCAATTCATACTTAGCTTCATTTAATTCTGAAATAATCAGAAAAGGATCTAGTTCTTGATCATGAAAATGCATACAGTCATATGTACAAAAAGATGGTTTCTAGAGAACAATATACACTGCATATATGTACATGTACATAGTCAGATTTTGATCAGATTATTAAGTCCAGGTTAAGGAATATCCCCTGTATAAATTTTACCAATCAATAAGGTAAGCCTAAGCATATTTTTTATGCCTCCATTACGAAGTAGCCGAAGGCATTATGTTTTCGGGTTGTCCGTCCGTACGTTGTACCGTACGTCTGTACGTCCGTACGTCCCGTTCTCGTGATCGCGTTATCTGAAGAACCGATTGATGGATTCCTGCCAAACTTTGGTCATGTATGTATCTTGCAGAGCCGATGAACTGATTAGATTTTGGGGTCACGAGGTCAAAGGTCACAGGGCTCATTATGTATGCAAAACAGCTCGTGATCGCGTTATCTCAAGAACCAATTGATGGATTCCTGCCAAACTTAGGTCATGTATGTTACTTGCAGAGCCGATGAACTGATTAGATTTTGAGGTCATGAGGTCAAGGTCAAAGGTCATGCGGCTCATTATGTATGCAAAAATAGCTTGTGATCGCATTATCATTAGAGCAGACTGATGGATTCCTGCCAAACTTAGATCATGTATGTATCTTGCAGAGCCAATGAACTGAGTAGATTCTTGGGTCATGAGGTCAAAGGTCAAAGGTCATGGGCTCATTATGTATGCGAAAATAGCTTGTGAACACATTCTCATTAGAACTGACAGATGGATTACTATTTAACTCAGGACATCTTGCAGAGCCAATGAACTGAGTAGATTTTAGGGTCATGAGGTCAAAGATCAAAGGCTCATATATGTATATGAGAAATTGCTTGTAATCACGATATTCTGAGAACCTGTTAATGGATTACAATTAAACTTGAATTTTAATTTTTTTTTCTGTTTTGGTTTGTTAAATTGCTTTATGACGGGGGCATCATTTTCTACTGCGCGCATCTGGTTTCATTTCAATGAGCCGAAGTTATTGAGGTGCTTCATGAATACTTTTTGTTTGCCTCTTGAAGAGAATACTTCCACCTGTGTATCAGATAAATGTACTGTCGGTGCATGAATGAATACTGATAACATAACTTTCTTGAGCATGATACCAGTATTTGTCTCGATGGGTTTTACAATTTGCGAACAAATGAGCTTTATCTGCCCATGCGTAGATAGTATTTATGAACTGGCTCATTTCATGTTGCTCCTTACGTATACAAATGTTCACGACCCTTATGTAATTTCATCTTATAGAAGGTGAGTTGTAAATAATGCAATCAATGTTGTTGTAAATAAATTCTTGGCTTGCACCTAGTAGATAAAGATCCATCGCATGCTCGATCTCGTAATTGAAGACAAGTCAGAAAAAATCTTGGAACCAGTAAGATGTGAGCCTGCCATGGCACACTTGCCGGGCAGCGACTCTACCACCAGGGGGGTGTTTCACAAAGACTAAGATCAACTGTAAGTTGGACTTAACTATGGCTGACCTGTTATGCCACGAGTTCCTCTAAAATTATGTGGCATTGATTTCTCAAGGGATGTACAAATCGTGGTCAAAAATCTACCGAGTTTACATTTTTTAATAGTTCATTAATGAAAGAAAAAATATTATCTAAAGATCATAATTAAGAGACCAATGGCAAGAGTAACCGGTGGCATGAAAGGCCTGCCATAGTTAAGTCCAACTTAAAGTCGATCTTAGTCTTTGTGAAACACTCCCCTGGCCATCACTGGTCATGATGAACCTAAAATAAATACCTCAGATCCCCAAGATTTTTTCTGACTTAGTCTTCAATAACAAGATCGAGCACGCCATCTTTATCTGTTGGATGCAAGCCCCCCAAAATGCTTTACAGAAATTGAAATTTCCCCCGACAGCCTAACATTCAAAATACAATCAATGTTTTTATTTTGTTCTTCTTTTGCAGGTATGAACTTACTGAGACTATGCCAAAAGAGGAGCTGTGAGTATAGAGAGTAAGGTTGATGCATTGGTGCTAATGTTTAGTCAATTAGTCTTAAAATATTTGAAAGTGGAGGTGCTAATATTTAGCTGTTAAAGTACATGCAAGTATCAGGTATCTAGTTTATTTGTTGTCTTCCAGAAATTACATGTAACAAAATATAACAGAGTATAATCATAACAGTACAATATAGAATAAAGAAAGACGAGGAGACCTTGGTTGAGGCACAGCTTGTCAACTTAAGGCCCCCTCACGTGATGTGACAAAGATAACTAATTCATGAATACAACAACAAATAATACATGGAATATATAAAGCTATTTACAAAATACACTCAGAAAACAACTTCCCAATGATGCATTGACCACAACAAGTATAACAGAAGATGAATCCATCTTTAGCTCTTATAGTTTCTAAATCATTTTTTAAATCATTTTTATTGAACACCCTGTATATATGATTCCCCTTCATTTATTATGATTATTAGCTATCAGTGATTTGGTATCGCCTATGCCTGGGAAGGGAAAAGCAACCTGAATTACAAATTTGCAATGGCCCTCGGGTCACTCCTCCTCAGGGAAAAAATCAATATTTATTTCTCGGGGGCTACTTTTCAAGCTTGCCTGCATAAAAATAACACTCTAAAATTTGTTTTGCATTGAACTCTATGCAAATTTACGAGGACTCTTTTGGGCATTTCGGGGGCAAATTCGCCTCGAGCCCCCTTGTATTTTTTCACTGCTCCTCCTGGTATAAAAGCTGTATTTGAAAGGCCTGGGACGAATAGCAATTTTACTATTCAAACATTCATGCAATTTCATGCAAACTGCCATCTGCACACAGGTATTAAAATATTTAAAATATTTGAAATACCAAATACCAAATTGAATGCATAAATCTTTGTTTAGCACCATGTTACAAATTATTTCATTCACCTGTTAATTATAACTGTATCCCGATAGTCGGAATACGAATTGCATACAATGCAAGTTGTTAGGCAAGACAAGCTATAATGTTTGTCCTACCTAGCAACAATTAATGTAACGAGGCACTTAACAAAGATTTGTGAATTAAATTTGATTGCATTACGAAAATGGCCTATAAAGTGTTATCTATTTTGTAAAACTTACGGTATCCAATATCATGTTTGCAAGGTGTCGATAAGGAGCTTTTGTAGTGAGATATTGTTATATCATGAAAAATATGAGAAAAATTTGGATATATACTGTTAAAACCTCTGCCAACAAGTAATTTTTTTTTACACAAGATCATGTAAACAATGATGCAGTAGTTGAAATATAATATGAATGCATAAATGTAAAAATGTTATCAAATTTTATTATGAAGTTGGATTGAATATGCAAAACGAGCTATCATAAAATGATGGGCATTTTTATTATGTATTAAATTGACTTGGTAACATTGTTGAGGGTTGATGAAAAAAATGCGTAATTTCTTCATTTCAATGAGCCGAAGTGATTGAGGTGCTTCATGAATACTTTTTGTTTGCCTCTTGAGGAGAATACTTCCACCTGTGTATCAGATAAATGTACTGTCGGTGCATGAATGAAAACTGATTACATAACTTTCATGAGCACGATACCAGTATTTGTCTCGATGGGTTTTACAATTTGCGAACAAATGACCTTTATCTGCCCATGCGCAGATAGTATCATACATGCCAACATTTGAAAATCAGAAATCTGTACAAATTATGCTATTTTCAAAAAAAAAGAGGAACAATACTAACTCTCCTATTCAATACTACAGACAAATTTGTACGGGAAGAGGAACACCTGCATTAAAATGATAATTATCTTCTCCCAAAAAGAGGAATGTTCCTCTTTAATCTGAACAGTTGGCATGTATGTAGTATTCACGAACTGGCTCATTTCATGTTGCTCCTTATGTATACAAATGTTCACGACCCTTTTGTAATTTCATCTTATAGAAGGTGAGTTGTAAATAATGCAATCAATGTTGTTGTAAATAAATTCTTGGCTTGCACCTGGTAGATAAAGATCCATCGCGTGCTCGATCTCGTAATTAAAGACAAGTCAGAGAAAATCTTGGAACCAGTAGGATGTGAGCCTGCCATGGTACACTTGCCAGGCAGCGACTCTACCACCAGGGGGGTGTTTCGCAAAGACTAAGATCAACTGTAAGTTGGACTTGACTATGGCTGGCCTGTTATGCCACGAGTTCCTCTAAAATTATCTGGCATTGATTTCTCAAGGGATGTACAAATCGTGGTCAAAAATCTACAGTTTACATTTTTTGATAGTTCATTAATGAAGGAAAAAATATTATCTAAACATCATAATTAAGAGACCAATGGCGAGAGTAACCAGTGGCATGAAAGGCCTACCATAGTTAAGTCCAACTTAAAGTCGATCTTAGTCTTTGTGAAACACCCCCCAGGCCATCACTTGTCATGATGAACCTGAAATAAATACCTCAGTTCCCCAAGATTTTTTCTGATTTAGTCTTCAATAACAAGATCGAGCACGAAAATGGCCTATAAAGTGTTATCTATTTTGTAAAACATACAGTATCCAATATCATGTTTGCAAGGTATCGATAAGGAGCTTTTGTAGTGAGATATTGTTATATCATGAAAAATAAGAGAAAAATTTGGATATATACTGTTAAAACCTCTGCCAACAAGTAATATTTTTATACAAGATCATGGAGACAATGATGCAGTAGTTGAAATATAATATGAATGCATAAATGTAAAAATGTTATCGAAATTTTGTTATGAAGTTGGATTGAATATGCAAAACGAGCCGTCATAAAATGATGAGCATTAAAAAAAACCTGGGCATTTTTATTATGTATTAAAGTGACTTGGTAACATTGTTGAGGGTTGATGAAAAATATGCGTAATTTTTGTATGAAATGTTACTTATAGTCCGGCAGCCATCTCGATATACCTTGTTTTAGGGTCTATAGTTTTTTTTTCTTCGGATTATAGTTCCTTAGACCATCAATTTGAAGAATTCGATTGCTGACACTCTGTCAGCATTGAGCAATTTGAGATATGTGACGTCATACAAAATGGCCGCCAAAATCCCCTTTTTTTACCAAAATTAATGATATAAAAAGTTTTAACAGCATTTTACTACATTAAATGGCAGTCAAATATCTTGATTTTTTTCTAGAATCATCACTAAATAAAAATTGCGATGCTGTATGATCACAAATGATATGCAAATTTGCATGATTCGGAATGGCGCCCTCTACAGACACATTAACTTGCATAGGTCAAAATGATGGCCAAATACCAATTTCTAACATGAGATTATCATATGTCATGAGTCAGATGCACTGGATACAGTGAGTAAAGATTGTGCTGCACATTTATTTTTATTTTGTAATTTGATATTCGAAGAAAACACGGTTGAATTTTATGCTCTCTGTCCCATAGATATGAGGTGGCATATGGTGATAAATGCCCATTTTCAGTGACAGCGTTAAGAAACTAGATTTGTATCCTAAGGTACTAGATTCTTTTAAATTAACCTAAAAATTACGAACTACCACTACGATACAGGACTATATCTGTTTATAAGTTTGCTTCAAGATCTTGAAATTTGTTTAAAAGCCCTCTAAAGTGTTGGGAACCCTAAAATATTCCATGTGGAAGAGGGTGTCATTTAACACTTAATTCTGCAAAGTAAGGTCGTGACTGTAATGCGTGCTTCCACACGCATGTTTGCAAATGAGTTCTCTTAACGTTTTCTACAAACGCTTCAGTAGTTTGAGGTAGTGAGGCAAGGTTTGGGGGTATTTGGAGCTCCTAGTCTTCGGACCCTTGATAGCCACACGTTGATACGAGCCTCTGACATTCAGTTGGTTGTTGACTGTCCATAACATGAAGCAAAGCATTGAGTAGGTTGAGTGATGACATATGACCATGCTGCATCAACATTGCCAACTCAGTCCTAAGGGAGTCGAATCTTCTGCTTCATCACTTTCAGCATTGTACCCTATCCAATGCCAAAGTATGCCCCAAGAGTGTCGCATCCCGTCAACGCATGTCCTGCCAACATCGATGGAATGATATCTCCTAACTTGTCTACATTGGCAGGAACATCAATAACAGTTCGATTTGTGAAGGGGCGTCTCCATGGTCATTGACGTTTTATAAGTCCGTCATGTAGATAATGATGCAAAAGTAGTACGTAGACGTCTGTGTCATCCACTAGGACCCTAACATACATCTTCTCATTAGCATCAACTCCAATCACTTGCTGTTGTTTGATGTTGCCTGCTTCATCATAACTATGTTGTGGACAGACCTTTCCTTGGCATGACATCACTGCCTGGAATCACTTCAACAAGAACCTCATCTTGACGGTAAAGGCCTGCTTGTGCTTTTGCCTATTTCTGAGCACCCAATCATCCTGCAGACTCGCGCATATAATTATGATGTCGATCAACTGTAGTTTGTTGTCATGAAAAGATAGTGAAATTAGCAACACTAGAGACACGTTTCAACAACTTCTCTCCCTAGCTTTATTGATCTTTCCAAAGCTTTTGACTGCGTACAACATAAACGCCTATGGAAAATTATGAGCTAGATGGGCTTTCCAGCACATATAATTCAACTCATCCAGTCGCTCTACCAATACCAAGAAGCAACAGTAAGAGCAGAGAATGGCGACACTGAAAGGTTCACTATTGGTCAAGTTGTCCGTCAAGGCTGCAACCTATCACCATAAATTTTCAACATCTATGCTGAATTCATCATGAGAAAGGCATTTTATGGTCAAGTTTTTGTTGGTGGACGAACGATCACCAACCTAAGATACGCCGACAATACAACACTCTCTGGCGTATTAATGGGGAAGGGGATGGGGGGGGGGGACAGTTGAACCCCCAAACAAAATTCAAACTGTTTTTTTTTTTATATATTCGATACCAGTGATTTACAAATGTTGCTGAAATGACATGATTTTCCTGGGTTTTTTCTCACTTTTTAGTAAATTATTATTTGTTAAGCGTATGTTGGAAAATGACAAATCCTAAATCCACAGTCAAGCAAAAAATATGCTTATTTAAAAGCCTACATGTCAGGGTCCGCAGAACAGCGGGGCTCAGGGGACTCGAGCCCCCCTCACTTTTTGTATAAAGTATGTTAAAGAGAACTAGAAAGAAAGTGACCCGAGGTGAAATGAGGTATCAAAATATGTTCATCTTACAGTTAATAAATGCCTGAAACCCTTGAGCTTCCCGGGGCTGTGCCCCTTGAACACCACGCCAATTTGCGCTCCTCTCTTCCTGATCGTAAATACTTCAACCCCCCCCCCACCCCGCTTTAAAAAAAAGTTCCGCGGGGCCTGCAAGTAACATGTATGAGTGGTGGTGATGCAGATTGTTTTTCTGCCCCTCTAAGTGTTTTTGCTCAGTATGCCACTGACAACACTTATAACAAGAACATCAGAAGATCTACTAGAACTCCTTAAAAAAGAGTGAAGGATGCAAGTGAATAATTTGGACCCTACCTCAATGTGAAAAAGACCAAGATTATGATTGGTGGAAATTAACTACATGCAACAGAGCATGGTGGTTGATGGAGAAGAAGTTGATCAAGTGGACAAATTTATATAATGTTCTTGGGTCAATGATTGGCAAGGAGGGTGGAAGCTCGGCAATATCTGCCTTTGAAATGTGGTGTTGGAGGAAGCTACTTGGGATATCATGAAGAGATTACAACACCAATGTACACAATTAATGTCCATCATCGGAGATCAACCGCTACTTGCTACCAGGATTGACAAGTACAAGCTACAATAGTTTGGTCACGTTAGCAGAAGATCAGGAGACAACCTTGACAAATTATCATTCAAGGTACCTTTGAAGAAACACGTAACAAAGGAAGACACAAGCTCAGATGGACTGACGACCTTAGGGAAATCACTAGCCACCCTCTAAATACTAAAGACACTCTACCGGATTGCAGGAGACAGATGCCAATCAAAAGGTCTCATCAAACGGGTCACAAGGGTGAGCCATGATCTATATGACAACGATGACGACGACGAACAGTAAGAGATAGTTTCTTAGAGGGCAGCAGTGACGCGGGACTCAGTTGGAAGACTCTCGACCCGTTATGACCTCTAAATATACTCTCGGATCTGTCAAACACCAAGCAAACATCATCAGATTTTCATCCACAGCAGAGCACAACCATCAATGACTGTACAAGGTTGTTCCAGTGTCTCATGCCTGGCTGACATCTCAACTTTTGTCACATTATATAAGTCCGTCTTTGACATGGGAGTGCTCTTTTCCAGAATCATCAAAAAGTGCAGTTGGGACTGGTGAAAGCTCTTATGACAAAATGTCCTTGACATTGACCTCTCTTGAACTTGTCTGCAGTCCTA